ATTAAAGAGCTCCGAGAGAGAGCTAGGACCATTGATATACCGAAAAAGACGCTTGACCTTGGTATAGGGATTAATTGGGAACATAAACTATCATTGCAAATGGTCCAAGAATAAGTTTTGTACTCACCAAGGTCCCAGAATGTCGAATTACATTTACTTCGTAATGCAGTCGTAAAGGCACTGGAACCGTATATGGTGGCTATAAAAATCCACGCTTATCCTATTGAAAATCATTTGGATAGTCCAATGAAAATTAGTTAAACAAAATTAGTTATATGGTATAGCCACGCTTATATCTGTGATAGTCCATTGGAATGATTCTCTAAAAAATCTACGCTTATTGCGGTATGCCATTTGGAATAATTTTTTAAAAACTCCAGGCTTATTGCTCTGAAAATCCTTTGGATATTTTTGTTAAAAAATCCACAATTATAGCTGTGATAGTCGCTAGGAAAATTATATAGTATCTATGACAATTTCTATAAAAATCAAGGTTAAAAGTCTAAGAAATTTTGTATTGAGCCTAGAATTATGCTTTAAATATGTACGTATATTTATTAAAGAAATATATTTTGTTGATTACAGGGTAACCCATTTTAAAAGCCAAGCATTGAAAACAAACTTGACTCATACCATTCCGTGGTATGCTTCAACACAGCTCTCTGTGCTAAATGTCATGCCAATGGGACAACAATCGGTGGATATTTGGTACACAATTTTCTATAGATCTACCAGCTAAATATAGATCTACCAACGGCGGAGCTGCAGCGACTGGAGAGGAAATCAAAGGAACAGGTCCGAGACTAACAAGGTAAAACAACTATGATCGCCTAAACCTGGCAGGGGTCAAGGGTAGTTTTCATACTCAAGCTCGACAAAGCAATCTACGCAAAACCAAAATCAACATGATAAAGAGCATCACCCAACGATACGAGCAAGGGACACTGAAGGTAGGTATTCTATCAACACTCACGTGGGTTACCGCTATCAATAGTCCATTTAGGACCTTAATAAGGAGGGATTTGAAACATTCTGTTATGCCGAGGACGTTATAATACTTCTAATTCCTAACTTATTATGTAGGAAAGCTGAAACGGTGTTAAACATCGCCTATAACGAACATTCGGACAAGACGGAGGGTTCGCAAAAATTCGCTCGCGAATGATTCAAAGTACATACTTTTCGTTTTGTGCTCATTATATCCTACACAACTATGTTGTCAGGGTATTATAGCTTTGTGTAGCCCCAAAAATTTGTAACGCCGCGAAATATTGGCCCTAGACCCACCTTTAAGTATACCGAACATCATATCTCGACTAGCTGAGTCGATCGGGTCAAATGGACCCTGACTTTTGTGTGAAAAATTACAAAATTTTTATTCTGGGGCGTATATACTTGCTCCTGAAGGACATATACTCTAGATGTTGATAGTATATCCAAGAGGAGTTGTTGACCTTTAATTAATACCAATTATATGGCTATATGTACTCTGATGTGGGAGTTATCCGTAATTAGGTAAAGGTGACTATGTGCATAGTATTACTATTACTCCATTAGAGGACGGAAATGTCGCGCTGATCGCTTTGAAATTGTACATGAACTTCCGATTATGGTCAAGGACGGCGCCTGTAGTTTTCGGTGAAGTTGAGAGTTCATTCAGGGGGTGCAATGAACCGAAAACTTTAATTTTGTCAGATTTTCTAGTCGCTCTAGAGGCAATTATTATATGCAGAACATCACATATTTTACAAGGTGAAGGGGATCTGATCAAATATTTAGAGCGGCTGTTTAGATGATGATCGGTCAATTTTCCGAGGGTCAAATCAACCAAAACCTAATGTGACCAATTTTTTTATTTTATGGCGTAAAAATTCACTTCAAAAAAAAATATTTTGGAAAATATGCAAGACTTAGAAAGAGGAGTTGTTGAACTATAATCGGTAAAAAGGGTCAAAATATCAAGAAATATTGCCCAGGCTCAGAATATAGAACCGCCGAAAGTGTGCTTTTTGTGGTAGTTGTGTAGGGTATCATATGGTCGGCCCCGTCCGACTATACTGCTCCGCTCACTGGTTTTAAGAATGAATTTATGGCGATAAATTCTTTACCAAACGAGGATTCGCCAAAAGAATATTCGCACACACATTACAAAAGAATGAGAGCACACAACAACGTTTGTTCGTTTTCTGGTTGAAATTCTTTCTCTCTCGAATGAAAACAAACATTCCCGAATTCTCGAGAATGCTCAAAACGGCAACAACAATAACAACAAACATTCGTGAAAGAAAACAACCACCTATCAGTGGTTTGTGTGTTTCTATGATATTTTTGTTTGTTGTTGTCTTTAATAGTGCTCGCGAGAATTCGCGAACATTTGTTTTTAGAGTTTTTAAAAGAATTTTCTTTAGCAAAGAATGCACGCGAAAGAATGAATCCAAGACGCTTGCAGCGAAATTTTATCGTTCGTGAATTTTTCGTACAATGCGAAAATTCGAGAGAGAATGCAAATGCTTGTGTATTCATGCTAAATTTATCATTCGCGATAAATTGAAAACATTCGAATTCTCGCCCGTGAGCATTCGTGAGAAAAAGTGCAAGCAATTTCATAGCTCAACGTTTTGCACGGTGAACGAGGACATACCCACCAGAATAATGGGAGACTGCCAAAGCTCACCAGACATTTGCATCGTGCCTCCAGGTCTGACAAATGACGTGGCTTTGCAACCCGTCATTTCATTGGGGTCAGATCACCTCCCTATTATCATATCCATCAACAGACCACACGACTTCATAACTTCTGAACGCCGTACTTTCCTTAATAATGGGAAAGCCAATTGGCAAGAGTTAAGGAATTTCAGCAATCGTCGCTGCAGAGAACTGTCCAATCCTTCTGATGCTCGGGTAGCAGACAGGAATTTCCGGAACACCATCACTGCTGCAGCCGCTCGATATATACTTGCGGGTCGTATACCCAGCAGAGGCAGCAGGATTAGTGAATGAGCGTGATGAGCTTCGTCGTACTAACCCTACTAAACCCAGAATCAGAGAACTGACTATGGAGGTGAAGAAGTTAGTCGGTGAGCATAAGCGGAAAAAGTGGCTAGAACATCTTAAGTGTTGCAACATCGGTACCGGAGTGAGTAAATTGTGGGCAACGGTTAAGTCGCTCTCGAACCCTGGAAGAAAGGATAATCGGACGTCTGTTTTTTCAACCGGCAGTTTATAGAGCACCCCCAGAGTGACAGGGCGAAGAGAAGAGTATTGCGCCGTATACGTTCTCTGCAAGTGGATGAGGAACCACCACAATTTACATTGGAGAATGTTGCAAGTGTCATCAGAAATCCTCAAAGAACCTTGGTCCACATGGAATCTCCATGTTGATGTTGAAGCAGCTTGATCAGCCAGGAGTAGAGTATCTTACAAAAGACCTCAACATGTTGTTATTGAGATCGCCCTTGTCATACAGGCCGATATCACTTTACTACTACCTAACATTCGTGAATACTACTCAGTTGCTGATCATCAACATGGGTTCCGGAAGCGGCATAGTACAACAACAGCTTTGCACGCCATTTCCACACATATAACGGAAGGACTCAACCAAAACAGGCCGTGTAACAGGACAGCTTTGGTGGCTCTGGACCTAAAAAGGCATTTGATACCGTCATTCACGCTAAGCTGTTCGTGGACATCGAGAGAACAATCCTCCAGTCATGTTTGAAACTTTGGATCGTGAACTATATGTGTGGACGCCAGTCGTACGTGGAATTCTGAGACTGTTTAACCTCTACCTCTCTGGGATTCCACGCCCACCGGACGGCATTAAGATCGTAACATAGGCATATGATTTTACGATCATAGCGTCAGGACCCAAAATTGATAACATTTGCGAAAAGCTGAAGCACTATCTGGTGGATGTTGCAGACTCTTTCTGGTAGAGGAATATGGAAATATCCGCCAATAAGAAAAAAGGTTCTCAAGTCGCCAGCCGGAAGTACTTGGGGAGCTGACCAAGAAACCTTGTTAACGACATACACAACAATAGGCCGGTCTGTGGTAAACTATACGGCTCCAGTGTGGTCCACTTACGTCAGTGCAACACAGTCTCCAATCCTGCCAGAATGCCGCCCTGAGGACTGCAACAGGGTGTCTCCTCATGACTCCAATAGACCACTTACCTGAGGAGGCAAAGATCCTTCCTGTGCATCAACACAACAAGATTTTTTCGATGTATCCATCGAAATCGTTACCTAATGGATAGGCACCCACCATCTAGGCATGTCAGGAAGGATCTTTATGATCTGGAGAGAGAGGTCTAAAGGTACAAAAGGGAGTCTCTAGATCAACATCAGCAGGATGAAGTTGAGGACGCAATTCGAGAATATGAATACAATCATCGGTGATCACCCGCCCATGATAGCTGCAGAAGAGCAGCAGCTCCCTCGACAAACCATAATTAAGATTAGGATTATGCAGCCGCCTCAATTCTTATTGGGCACAAATTCATGGCGAGGTCGATAATATCTGCCCGGCATGTGGTAATGGTCCACATGGCACGCTACGCCTATTCAAATGCCTAGCCAAACCCACTCACATAACCCCATCTTCATTTTGGACACAACCGATACAGGTAGCAGCCTTCCTGAACATGGAGTTAGAAGCAGAACCAACAACAACGTCTAATAAGACACATCAAAATTATTGGGCAGTGCTATTTTTATTGCTTATAAGTTTTATTTTTTGAACACGAAATTAGAGATATTTAAATTCTTAGACAGAAAATCTTACACCTAAACTAAAACTATAGCAGCTTGTAAGATACATTAAAATAATTTGGCAGTATATAATTTATTGCTTATAATTCCTAGAAAATGTTAAATAAAATCGTGCCGAATTTAAAATATAAATAAATATCCGAATGCATATGTATAAATAAAATGTAAATTAAGAGTTTTTTAAATTCCAGCTTACCTTACTATATTCAAAAATTCTAAAACTAATTAATTAGATTTAATAACTTTTGTTAATTCCTCCATAATTGTATCCCAATGAAAACCCATTTTATCGTCTTCTAATTTTAACTTACAAAAACCGGGTATACGTTTTAGTAGAGTTTGAAATGGTGTATATTGTTGGATGCAAGCACTATCACCAACAATGATGAGCTTGTGTTTGGAACGTGTTATGGCCACAGTGAGACGACGTTTATCTTCGAGAATTTCAGCATCACGACAACGTTCGGTATTTTTAGAATCCGATGGACCCGTGCGGGAACAGGAATAAATAATAATATCTTTATCTCTACCCTGATACTGATCAACAGTATTAACTTCGACGAGGGAGAAATTAAGTGCCGGTGCTTGTTGTTGATAATACTCGTGATGTTGCAAAGCCAGTTTGCGTAGTAGCTCCACTTGGGCTCGATAAGGAGCAATTACACCAATGCGATCCGGATCATAATTATTAACTAATAAAGTTTTCACCAAATGAAAAACAATGGCCGCCTCACAATAATTTGAATATTTTGAAAAACGTTTAGAGGTTTTAGTTTCGGATTTTAGTTTTTCTTCTGCTGCTACTTCGCCCTCTTCACTAAATGTCTTTTCAATTAACTCACATGTTGTGCTATGTTTTGTTTTGGCATATACGGAAGAACGTTCCGAACAGTCTTGTGTATCGATTAAATAGACAGACTGATCAACATGTATTTGCAGGACACGTTGTAGCCATTTCTCTTCCGAATTTTCTACGTTAATGGGTTGTGTCATTTTCGCCATTTTAATATCATTTGAAGCACACTCCAATGCTCCATTGTAGGTTAAATCATTAGCCAATTTTGTAATCGTCTTATTCATACGATATTGTAGTGTTAAAACGGAAGTAGCCTCCTTAGAATCCAAACGATGAAAGAGAGATTCATCGGCACCTCTCTTTCTGGCCTCAGCAGATCTAACCAAAGGTGGCAATTGTTCTGGATCACCAACCAATACAAAACGATCACAAAAGAATAATGGACGAAGTACAGTCGGTTGCATTACCTGTGTAGCTTCATCAACAATACAAAAATCAAAACGTCGATGTAAAAATATGGCATTCGATGAACCCAAACAGGTTACACCCACAATACGATACGAATCATATAGTTTACTTAGTTCTTTTTCTGTGTGACAAGTGGCTATTAAGGTGGACTCACAAGAATCTCGTAGCTGGGCATTGACCCGAGCTCCATTACCCAAACGTAAAAAGGGAACTTTATGGGGCTTAAGACGCAGTAGAAGATTATCCACCGCCGAGTGAGTGTGACTGGTTATAATTATAGATTTTCCCATCAAATAAAGTAAACGTATAATGGCAACCAGTGTTTGTGTCTTACCTAGAAAAGAAAAAAGGAAGGGGTTTGAATTAGTCTGACTCCGAGACCGATTGTTTTCTGTAGGAAAAAAATAGAAAAAAATCCTTATTCCCTAGACACCGAGGACTGATATTTTCTGGAGAAAATAATAAAAAATAGTCTATTTTTCTATAGAAAAAAAAATCCTGAGACACAAAAGACCAATTTATTCTTAAGGGGACCCCCCCCCATTCTCGGGGTCAAATTAGTTGTTGATTTAATTCGAATCTACACTCATTCAAGAATGTCCTTACAAAATTTCAAGTAAAAATCTCAAGAACTCTTTAAGATATAGCCAATTTATTGTGTCAACATCAAGTGACGGCTGAAGGGCTTCTCAAACTTTAAACGCGTTTTTCTCTAAACATTTTTTTGCGAATGGCGGGCACGATAACTCAAAAACTAATAACCCAATCGATTCCAAATTTTTACACGTTTCTCTGTGAGTGTGTAGCTATCGTATGAACTAGGATAAAGCCAATCGGTGAAGATCTTCCTTATTTTTTAACTTGGTTTTTGGTCAAAAATCGGCGATTTTCCCAAAATATTTTTTCAAATGTCCGCCATTTTGTTAACTTTAGAGCGAGGTCAATAATCCTAGTTCATACGAGAGCCAGACATGTACTCTTTCTAACACGGTTGGAATTTTCGGATTCCGATGTTCCAGTGAGGAGTTATCATGCCCGCCATCAAAAATAAGGACTTTTCTTTAATTACAAAAACAACAACAAAACAATAACAAAATTTTTTTGTAAATTATTTTTCTTCTCTTTTAAATCTTCAAATATATATGTGCAAAGTTACAAACCTTAACAAGCATTGGTATTGATTTACCAGCCCATTGAAAATCTTGAAAAATTAAAATCGAGAATGGGTGGGGTTCCCTTAAAGAAAAAAAATCCTCCGACAAACAAGACAATTTATTTTTTCTACAGAAAAAATAGGACTAATATTTTTCTATAGAAAAAATTCTTCAGATACTGAAGACGGATTGTTTCCCATAAAAACTGAAGACTGATTTTTTTCTATAGAAAAAATTCTCGGCCACTGAAGACTGATTTTTTCCAATAAAAAAATTCCTCCGACACAGAAACTTTTTTTTATAGAAAAACTTTTTTTGACATTATTAGGACAAAGCAACAACTATAGAACTAATTATTGGTTGTAGAAGACAAATTTTTGTTCATAGATAATAATTCCACAGACGCAGAAGTCTTTTTCTATAAAAAATCGTCCGACAAAGAAGACTATTTTTTTGATAGAAAAAAATCTTCAGAAACCGACTTTTTTATAAAAAAAAATTCCTTAGCAAATGAGGACTGAGGAATACTCTTTTTAAAGAAATAAGTCTTTAGCAATTACGGACTAATTTGTTTTTCTATAGAAAAAAATTCCTCCGGAACTTAGGATCATTTGGTACAAAAAATCCTCAGACACTGAAGTCAAATTTGTTTTATAGGAACCTTAGCTACCTCTGCCACTAAAGGCTGATTTTTACTATAGAAAAAAATCCTCAGCCACAGAGTATAGATTTTTCTATGAAAAATCCTACGACACAAAGGATATTTTTTTTTTCTATAGGAAAAAAATCGTCACTGTGGTTTATTTCTTTTCTATAAAAAAAGAAAATTGCTCAGCCTCATAGAAAAAAAATAGCTCAGCTGCTGAGGACTAATTTTTTTCTATACTGTTCTGAGCCTCTGAGGACTGACTCTATAGAAAAATTTCTCATTGAAGTCTATAGAAAAATAGTCCTCAGGCACTGGGAAAAATTCTTCAAATACTGAGGACTGATTTTTTCTTTAAACAAAATTTCTCAGCAATTGAGGATTGATTTTTTATACAGAAAAAAATCCTCTGTCACTGAGGACTGTTTTTCCCCCTAGCAAATATTCCTCACTCACTCACATGATGGGTTTTTTCTATAGAAAAAAGTTCCTCAGACACATAGGACTGAAAAAAAGAGAAAAACCCTCAGAAGCATAGAACTGATTTTTTCATATAGGGAAAAAATCCTTATCCGCTGAGGACTGATTTTTTGTAGTATGTGTTAATAATTTCTCAGCTAGTAAAGGCTGACTTTTTCAAATTATCGCAAAATCTATTTCAAACACTGAAAATACCTCATTATTTTTTTCACATATTTGGATTTCATTCATTTGTCCTTACCTGTTCCGGGTAAACCTTTGATCAGCATAAATGATTGCGTTGTCAGCGCCTTAAGGACAGCAGCTCGTTGTACAGAATTTAATTGTTTCAAAATTTCACCACCTTCAGTGCTGACAATTTTTGGTAAAATTTTCACAAATTGTGGTTGTTCTAGGTCTACAATAATATTACGTAGCCGCCGCGACTGTTCAGTATCATCCAATAGAATTCCCAAATTTGTAAAATTAAAAACATTGCCCGATTGGGATTCATATTTATCAATGATGAATTCTTGTTTTGAATAGTTTTGCATTAGATTACGTTCTAGACTGATTGTGATCGAAGATGAATCTAAATCCACAATGGAGCCGGCAGCAATAGCTAAACGCTTGGCTGTCGAAACAGTAACATAATCACCAGCAGAGAACTAGAAGAAATGAAAAATAATAAATTTAGAAAATTATTTTTTATTATTTATTATTTCAAAAAATATATAATTAGTATATTTATTATTTTATATACTCGTCATGCCTCAAAGAAATGTTGTATAGTCCACTTGAATCATGAAATTCAAATAATACATACCCCATATAACATTAAATCTGTTTCGGTATATTCCTCATTCTCCTCCTTCTCGCCATTAGATTGACCATTCTTTTCTACACCATGTTCTTTCTTTGCCAATATAAAACGATGCAGATAACGTGTTTCTTCTTTCTTAATTGCCTTACCATCATCGTCAATTTGTAGACCACAAATAGCTCTACCCATTTGCTCCCGTTCTTCTGGGGTATGACACCATAGAGCTCGTTGAAAGTTGGATTTACGAGACTCATGTTCTTCCATTAGCAGCAAATGACACCATTTAATAAAATATTCATAATCTTTCGTCGATAAATGTTTTAGATTTTCTTCAGATAATTTACGGATGGGATGATTTGAGCGCAACTCCAAGGATGGATCAGTTTTAGCAAAACTACAACATAAGGTGTTATAAGCACACTGGGCACATGCATTTGGATGTGAGATGGGTTCGGGCAACATAATTGGTTGTATAAATTTATCATCTTCGGGTAGCTTTGGATCCGAGGGTAGATTATCAAAATCAGGCATTGCATTTAGGTAATAACTAACTTCATTACGTAAAGTTATCAAATCACGTTGTTCATTACGTGTACTTGGTATTTCCCGGAGAAATCCTTCTCTTAGATATAGCAACAACCCCGAGTGAGTTGGCTTCCCCAGAGCCGTCAACATCATTTGATACAATATCAATTGACCCTTATGTTCCATAGAGAATGTAGCTCGGCCAGTCTTCAATTCTAATGGTAATATTTTCTCTTGTTTTTCAGTAAACTTGGTTATTTGACCCCTTCTCTCGCGTGGCTGAACTTTAACAGATACATCAATTTTACCTTTGATGCCTAATTGTGGTATCCAAAGATTTTCTTCGATATCACGAATTTCACCAATACGATCATGATAGTTTTCTTTTTCAATTGGTATACTATTTTCCTTTTCATCGATATATTGTTGTACAAACCGATGTATACTTTTTACGAATTGAAACACCTCCAAGGTGGTGTCTTCACGTGTCAATTGACTACTGTAAAGCATAAAGGCGGTATCTTGCGAGTTTAAAAGTTCATTAGCTTCCTTTTCGATAGCCTTATAGTCCAATATTTTTTTCTCCAAGACAATTTGTAGAAGTTCGTGCACCAAGGAACCAATTACCATCTGAAATAAAAAAATGTAGAATTATAAGATAGGTGTGGGAATGTATGATTGTATTGGAAAACATTTTCAATGGGAAAAATAGTTAGAAATGGAAATTAAAGTATGGCCTTTCGCAAAAAAATTATATCGTTGTAATCAGAGGACAAATTAATTGCTGTGGTACTGAGTAAATAAGTAAAATCGTAGTTTAAATCGGACGAAGTTTTCATAACTTCCACCATTCAAAATACCGGAATTTATATTTCGATCAGACATTCAAAATACGTAATCTTTGTATGAGGGCTATGTAGGCCCCGAAACCCAAAATACGGCCACTTCGTAATGCTGAAATATAGTCACTTCGTTTGAAAAACTTGTCCAAGACACCCAAAATGCCGAATATTCGGTGTTCCGTTATATGGGGGTTACACTTAAAATGTGGACCAATATGTATAATTTTGGGAAGAGAAATTTGGAGTAGGATATCATAAAACATAAACCATTATTGATCACTTTTGGTGATATTTGTATGGCGTCTATGTAGATCCCGAATCCAAAAATACAGCCATTTCGTAATTTTGAAATATAGTCATTTAAATTTAAAAACTTGCGCAAGATTCCCAAAATACCGACTATTCTGCGTTCCGGTATATGGGGGCTACACTGAAATTTGGACCAATATTAATAATTTTGGGCAGGGAGATTTTAAGGAGTATATAATAAAACGTAAACCACTCTTGATAATTTTTGGTAGGAAAGGTTCTTAGAGCCATTAAAAAAATAAACAAGTTGGTGAGTTTTTATATGAGACTATGTCAGAACATGGACCAATATTGAACTTTTTTTGGGATGATGTCTTTTTCCACCCTAGACACCGTGATCTCGACAGCCTGATAGGCGGGTATATAGGGGGACACATACGTCGGCCACCCACGACGCTGGATACATCAATTCCTCCAATAGTGTGTTTCCCGATGAAGAAAACTTATTAACAATTTATACGGCGATTGACCAACATTCAATCCTGCCAGAATGACGACCAGAAGACTGCAAGACGAGGAGACGAAGATCCTTCCTGTACGTCAATAATCTATAGAGAGGAACTCTAGAGGTTTTAAAGAAAACCTCTACATCAAGACCTATGTCACTCCAATGGAGTTAAGGAAGCAATGCAAGAATACAATCATCGAAGAACACCCGCTACCAATAGCAAAAGAATAGCAGAAGCTACAGAAGCTAAATCTGAATAGGTATGGCACAACTGAGATCAGGTTGGTGTATCCGCATCACTGCACTGAATTGATAACATGGTACAGAACCGGCATGTGGTAATGGTCCACATGATAAATCTACTCATTAACCCCATCTTCGCTATGAACGCAACCTGTACAGGTCGCTACCTGAATTTAGAACCAGATCCCGATTTAGTATAAAAAAATTCATTGCATTTCAGGAAACATCTGTATGACCTACAAAGAGGTCCAGAGATACAAAAAAATTGATTGATAGAGTGAATAAAATCGTCGAAGAACACCCCCTACCGATACCAATAGAAGTACAGCATCAGGTTGATTATTACCGCCTCAATTCGTATTGGACGCTTAACCCCATCTACACTATGGACATAACCAGTACAGATTCCATCCATAACCTGTACAGATTTCATCCTTTTTGAATCTGGTATTTGAACCAACCAAAAAATACAAATCAATAATAGCTGCTGTAACACTTATATACTTAAGCCATCGATTTTTTCAGAATGTACACTCACCACTTTATTGTTCGGATCAATTCCCTTGAAGCGATCCTGCAACACAGCTTTGCGACGGCAAAACAATGAGCCCACAACGGTGGTACCAGATATCAATGTATCCGGATTGACAACGCAAAATCCCTGATCCTTGTCAACTTTGTACGCCTCGAGGCCGGCATCAAATTCCCCCTTAACTGATACAATATCATCAACAGATACACGAGTATGACACCATGGACCCTGAAGATAACATTTTGCCTCCGCCTCTACTTCAGCTCCATTTGATTTCACTTTAGCTCCCAGTTTTAAAATCAATGCAAATGTTTTCTTCTCCCTTTCGATTTCCACGACACGACATCTTTGCCAATTACTCAGGTCGAGACGTTCTTTTGTGGCCGTTTTTTCGGCTGCTTCAAATTCGGTTAAATCAAAATCATCCTCTTCGTCAAAAAGGAAATCATAATTCTCTTCCTGATGCTTTGTTTTTGCTTCATCTACTTCGTCGACTTTCATCTTTTTGCAATTTCCATTTTCTTGGAGCATTGGTGAGATGGACCGTTTATTTATACCGACAGACATTCTGCAAGATTTTTATTTGTCTCGAAGGATTTAATTTCCTATATTTATTTCAAAATTAACGATTGATTGAAAACTTTTTCAAAAATCATTTATTATTTCACAATTTATTCTGCATTTTTTTTGTTTATCCCACAAACTTTGGCAAGCTTTTTTGCGCGCCTTTACCGAAAATGTCATATGTTAAAAACAATCATTCACAATAATATGTGTGGCAAGGTTGCCAACTGCACTGAGATGTATAAACACTGAAAAAAATTCAATGTTTTTTCTATATTTAACTTTTTAGAAGGAGAATAATTTAATGAAATTAATTTAGGGTGGGTCAAGATCTAGTAATAAGGTCACCCAGGTAGCAATCGAAACCGGAAAAACAGCTGATATCAAAAATGTGTTTACGTTTTCATAATGGAAGTAAATTCACAGCAAACTAGAGTGGCAGCAGATATCCAGATAGTCTCCCTGGATGACCTTAATAGGCCTTGGTGTGGATAGGGACTTTGCAACGAAAAAATGTGCATCATCAATATATTGGTTTTACACCTCAAGTTTCATTGGACCAAAACCTTTTCAGACAATTTAAGGTTGATTTACAAATACCTGTCTAGTGGGAAGGGAGTAACATATTTCATCCTTAACAAAAAAAAAAAAAAACAAGTTCTAAGATGGGAATATCGATCCTCAACGGTTAATATTTAGCTCCAAGTTAATTTTATTGTATCATGCGAATCGGATACTCCTGATTTGAACTTTACACCACCTTATATTTTAACAAAACCTTTATTGATCATGTTGTTGTAAAAACTTAACTGCTGCCTAATCTAGTTCTGATCCTAATTCCACGTTCAAAAACGCCGCGACCTGTACTAGTTGTATCGGAAGTGAATATAGGGTTAGTTGGCTAGTCAGTTGAAGAGGTGTAGCGTGTCATATGGACCAGATATTTTCCATCGTGCCTTTAATTCGTGCCTATCACTAAAAGAGGATTCTATTCAATCTGTATTCTCGAATTGCTTCCACAATTACATCGGTGTGAGTACTATTTGCCCCTGTTGATCTGGAGGCACTATTCTGTTCCTCTGGATCTCCAGATTATGAAGATCCATCTAACATACCTAGGTAGATGCCTATCCAAAAGGTGATGGTTCGGATCATGGTATTATTACAAGGTAGGGCACAGCTACCAACTGATTACAATTTTTTCTCAAGGTGCCTTGTTCCATCAAATCAAAATACATATTTTGTGTATGTGTGTGTATTGTTTTGAATACTATTGTTACGAATATAACTTTAGATTTAAGTTCATTTAGATGAATTCCGTTAATTTAAGAATTTGAATTGTAACGTAAATTTCTACTACGCAGTTTATTTGAATAACTTCACAACAACAACCACTGTATAGATTTTTCTACATCCTTCCATTTCCTCTTTCATTTTCTATTTTGTTATTGTCGTACAATTCTTGTTAAACGTCATTCCTCTTTCTTTGTTATTCCCTCGCCTGTATATGTGTTGTTGTTATTCCTCTTTCTTTGTTATTCCCTCGCCTGTATATGTGTTGTTGTTATTGTAAGTTTGTTTACTCAAGTTTGTTGTTGTTATTGTTCACTCAGTAAGTTTGTTGTTGTTATTGTTACTCAATGTGTTTGTTGCATTGGTAGATTGTTCGTGATCTAGGTGTTACCAGATCGTCTAGAAACTTCTGTAGCGACAGGCAGGGCTCATATAAATAGAGGGAATGGAAAGGCAGTGAGTTAGTTGTGAATCAGATCGCGAATTGAAACCGTCGTGTAAAGTAAAGTTGTGTGAATAAAATCATTGTAATAATCGTAATCAGAACGAACCCGCGTTTTATTTGGTACGAACTGTATCGGGAAATAAAACAACGTCTACACGGGAATAAGTGAAGTCCAAGAACGTAACAATTGGTGTCGGAAGTGAGATTACGATAATACTACGATGAAGTTTAAGGATCTACGAGTGGAAGACTTGAAGAAGGAGCTGAATAAATTGGAATTGTCCTCTACTGGCAACAAGGCTGAACTACAAAAACGTCTGTTGGATGAGTTCGAGCGCCGTGGTATGAACATCGATACATATGAGTTTGACAGTAAGGATGAAGTGGATTTATCGGAAATGGGCGAATCCAACTGTGGGGAAGTCTCGTCAGTAGCTGCCAGGGGTGACGATTTAAGAGAAATGCTGGCTAAAATGTTTGAGCAAAATTCCAGAATGTTCGAAGAGAATTCCAGAAAGTTAGATGAACTCAAGGCAGATAATTGTAGAAAGTTAGATGAACTCAAGGCAGATAATTGTAGAATGAACGAGAAACTCGAGAACATTACGGAAGTTATTGGAAGGAGAGTGGAAACCGTGGAGATCCAAATTAAAGAGTTGGATAAGAAAGTGCAGTCGGTTGACGAGAAGATTCTGTCTGTAGATGAGAAATTTCTGGCCCACGACCACAGGTTTACAAATCTGGAGAAGAAAATGTCGGAACTGGAAATCAAAGGTGGTCCGGTGCGAGCTCCTGATAACACACTAAAAATCAAACCTCCTGTATTCGACGGCTCTACGTCATTCAATGTTTTCAAGTTACAGTTCGAGACAGTGGCTTCTAGAAATTCGTGGAACGACAGCGACAAAGCGGTTGCACTACTTCTGGCATTGAAGGGCAGTGCTGCTGATGTTATACAGAGTATTCCTGTCGCTTCTAGGAGCAACTATGAAGATGTTATTGCTGCACTGGAACGTAAGTACGGTGGCGAACATAAACAAAACATCTACCTTATGGAACTAAGGGGAAAAGTACAGAGGGCAAACGAGACGTTACAAGACTTTGCAGCTGAGGTGGAACGTTTGGTGCTAATGGCGTATCCAGGAGAGAATCACCCATTGCTGGACCGTATGAAAATCGAAACCTTTGTGAATGGCATACGTGACCCTGAGATTAAATGTGCAACATATGCGTCACCAAAAGCGTCGTTTGCCGAAACTGTGTCGTTTGCCCTTGCCCAAGAGACGGCAAGAATAATTGTTAAGCCCCAGACCCACAAGATTCGCCAACTGGAGACCGAAGGTTGCGAACCCAAATCTCTCGTTAACTCGATCAAGGACGCCATGAAGCAGGTAATAGAAGAAACAAAGTTAGTAGGGATGACTAAGCCCAGGGTTAGATGCTACAACTGCGACAAAGCAGGTCATATTGCGCGCGAATGCAGAGCTAAGCGCAAACGATCCAGGTCATCGTCACCACCTCCAACGAAAGATGGTAGACGAATGGCACAACAGTCCACCAATGAGTCACCGTTAAACTAAATCGAGCCAGTCCAGCGGGGCATGAACTGGCTCCCATCGACGATGGCCCCACAATCTCCATAGCAATAGTACAACAGAAAAGTCACAACCTAACAACAACTGGGTACATCAATGGTGACAAGCGAGTTCTGACGTTAGATACTGGCGCATCAAAGTCCATCATAAGATCAGATCTGGTAAAGGGAAACATAACGCAACTTAATGGAGTCAGACTGCGCACAGCAACGGGGGAGCCCGCGGCCGTACACGGCAAGATTACCCTGAGACTAACTATTGCCAATAAATCGGTGAATTACGATTTTATAGTTGCCGATATCGTAGACGAAGTGATAATAGGCGCAGATTTTATGATTGCCTTCGGTATCAATCTGGATATGAAAGAGCGTGTGATGACCTGGTCTAACGTCGAAATTCCGTTAAACGTGGGCTACGATGAAAGTACACCCATTAGACGTCTGACTACGGACCATCCAGAGATAATACCGCCCTGTGCCGAAGCAATAATATGGGTACCAATGAATGGAGATTGTGGAGCCGAGAAGTTGTGGGTGGTGGAACCAGCAGAAAACAGATACGGTAACATCCTAATAGCGAATGCCCTGGTGAAAAGCAACGAGGACGGATTGATTCCTGTTAGAGTTTTGAACCTGTCAAACAAGCAAGAGCAAATTTTCCAATTTTCCGAAGTTGGACAATGCACACCAGCTGAAGCTGTAGTTAATTTGGAAACTAGCACCGAAAAGCCAGCAGCCATGGAGAAGAAGCACCTCGACGGCTACATAAAAGAGTGGACACACCAATTATCACCCTCCGAGAGGAACAAGGCTAAGCAGCTATTATGGAAGTATGCCTCTACCTTTGCGTTGACAAAAGAGCACCAAGGAAGAACATCAGTGGTGAAGCATGAAATCAATACAGCAGACGCGCGACCCATTAAACAGCCTCCAAGAAGTGTTCCCCTGGCCAAAAGAGACGAGGTCCAGAAGCTGATAAGTGAAATGGAAAAGAGTGGTGTAATAGAACCATCGTCAAGTCCATGGTGCTCCCCAGTGGTCTTGGTCAAGAAGAAAGACGGAAGCACCCGGTTTTGTGTGGACTACCGAAAGTTAAATGATGTCACCAAGAAAGACAGCTATCCGCTCCCAAGAATCGACGACACATTGGACACATTAGCCGGGACGTCATGGTTCTCCACCCTCGACCTGCAGAGTGGGTACTGGCAAGTAGAGATCGCCGAGAAAGATAAGGAGAAAACAGCGTTTGGCGTTAATGGGGGTCTCTGGCAGTTCAATGTCATGCCATTCGGACTCTGCAACGCCCCGGCTACATTTGAAAGGCTGATGGAGCGTGTGTTAAAAGGGCTGCAGTGGAAGTCATGCCTCATATACCTGGATGACATCATAGTCATGGGACGCAACTTCGACGAACACATCAAGAATTTAAAGGATGTTCTTCAGCAGCTTTCGTCTTCAGGCCTCAAGCTGAACCCAAAGAAGTGCAGTCTCTTCCAACGAGAGGTGAAGTTCCTGGGGCATCACGTGACGCCGGAGGGCATATCGACGGATAAGGAGAAAATTCAAGCCGTCAGAGATTGGCCGCAGCCCCGAAATCTCCATGAGCTGCGAAGCTTTCTGGGTCTCTGCACCTACTACCGTCGATTTGTCCCAAATTTTGCCAACATCGCCGCCTGTCTACACCGCTTAACGCAAAAAGGCCAGAGGTTCCAGTGGGGCAACGACCAAGAAGAGGCGTTCAGTAAACTCAAAGACATGCTATGCAGAGCCCCCATTTTGGCATACCCTATACCTGGCGGAAAGTTTGCTCTGGACACAGACGCAAGTGCGTGCGGCATCGGTGGCGTCCTTTCCCAGGAAATCGACGGACAGGAAAAAGTCATCGGGTACTACAGCCGGACATTGTCGAAGCCTGAGAGGAATTACTGTGTGACGAGGAGAGAGCTGCTTGCTGCCCTTGAGAGCGTTAAACACTTCCACAAATACCTATATGGCCAGCATTTCCTGCTGAGGACCGACCACGCTGCTCTCCAATGGTTGCTGCGGTTTAAGAATCCGGAAGGTCAACTAGCCCGTTGGATCGAGAGGCTCCAGAGTTATGATTTCAGAATCGAGCATAGAAAAGGCGGAAAACACGGTAATGCTGATGCCCTGTCTCGTCGGCCATGCAAGGTAGAATGCAGGCATTGCTCAAAGGCTGAGAATAAGGAGAATATCGTTGATGTCCGACTATTGCAGTTTGAGTCGGGTGAAGATTGGTCGACGGAACAACGAAGAGATCCCATTCTGGGCAAAGTAATTTCGGCCATTGAAACGGGCAAGCGACCTAGTCGTAAAGAAATTACCTCCGAAAGCCCTCTTTTAAAATCCTATTGGGCCCAGTGGGACAGTCTACTTATAAAAGATGGCTGCCTATATCGCAAATGGGAAAGTGAGGACGGTAAATCTCACCGGAACTTGATCGTCGTCCCAGACTCCAAAATAAGAGATGTCTTGTCGGAGTTTCACGATGGGCCAAGTGGAGGACATCTTGGCATAGCAAAGACCGCTGAAAAGGTGAAGCAGAGATTCTACTGGGTCGGCTGTCAAAAATCCATTGCCGACTGGATCGCCAATTGTGAAAGGTGCATAAGAGCTAAAGGTCCAACACGGAAGAGTCGAGGCTACATGCAGCAGTATAATTCAGGAGCCCCTTTTGAAAGAATCGCAATGGATGTAGCTGGACCGTTCCCCACAAGCGACTCTGGGAACCGGTATGTCTTAGTGGTCATGGATTACTTCAGTAAATGGCCGGAGGTTTATGCTATCCCAAATCAAGAAGCCAGGACAATTGTGGATGTGTTCAGCAAAAATTGGATTTGTCGCTATGGTGTTCCATCTGAGGTTCATTCCGATCAAGGTAGGAATTTTGAATCAGCGATCTTCAAGGAAATGTGTGACTCCTACGGAATTAAGAAAACCAGAACGACGCCCCTACATCCACAATCAGATGGCATGGTGGAAAGATTCAATCGCACCCTTGAAGAACATCTACGGAAAGTGGTGGACAGTGGCCAACGAGACTGGGATGAGCATATTCCAAAGTTTTTATTGGCTTATAGATCGGCCATTCATGATTCCACATCCCGGACCCCAGCCAAAGTTCTGTTCGGAAATGAATTAAAGCTACCTGGCGATTTGATATTCGGTGCTACCCCAAACGACGATGTGAACCAAGATGAAGACAGCCAAAACTCTTTTAGTAAAGTCCACGATGCAGTCCGACATCGAATAAAAATGGTTAGCAACCGCATGAAGGCAAGGTACGATCGAGCGGCAAATACCGATGGGTTTCAAGAAGGGCAACTGGTACTATTGTTCAATCCACAACGAAAGAAAGGACTATGCCCCAAATTGCAAACGCACTGGGAAGGACCCTACAAGATTGTCACGAAAATAAATGACGTCGTTTATCGCATCCAGAGGAGCGACAGTCCCAGGTCGAAGATGAAAGTTGTACATTTGGAGCGGCTGACCCCCTACGGAACGGGAACTGTGCCTATTCGGGACGAACAGGCTTAAGCGGGGGGCAATGTTACGAATATAACTTTAGATTTAAGTTCATTTAGATGAATTCCGTTAATTTAAGAATTTGAATTGTAACGTAAATTTCTACTACGCAGTTTATTTGAATAACTTCACAACAACAACCACTGTATAGATTTTTCTACATCCTTCCATTTCCTCTTTCATTTTCTATTTTGTTATTGTCGTACAATTCTTGTTAAACGTCATTCCTCTTTCTTTGTTATTCCCTCGCCTGTATATGTGTTGTTGTTATTCCTCTTTCTTTGTTATTCCCTCGCCTGTATATGTGTTGTTGTTATTGTAAGTTTGTTTACTCAAGTTTGTTGTTGTTATTGTTCACTCAGTAAGTTTGTTGTTGTTATTGTTACTCAATGTGTTTGTTGCATTGGTAGATTGTTCGTGATCTAGGTGTTACCAGATCGTCTAGAAACTTCTGTAGCGACAGGCAGGGCTCATATAAATAGAGGGAATGGAAAGGCAGTGAGTTAGTTGTGAATCAGATCGCGAATTGAAACCGTCGTGTAAAGTAAAGTGCAAAGTAAAGTTGTGTGAATAAAATCATTGTAATAATCGTAATCAGAACGAACCCGCGTTTTATTTGGTACGAACTGTATCGGGAAATAAAACAACGTCTACACGGGAATAAGTGAAGTCCAAGAACGTAACACTATGTCAAATAAATTCAAAATAAATTGAAATATATTCAAATTTAATTCAAATGAAAATTATGTTTTTAACATGTTCGCCTGGAGGTAATTACATTGTTATGGATGAAACAAGCATTTGATGGTATTCCCTACTGGATTTTGGGATGAAATCATAACCTTTCATTCATTTTACGCGTTTTTTAGTTTTGTGTTGAAAAAATGTCAAATAAACACAAACATTTGTTGCGTATATTTTTTATTTTTGGCAGAAGAAGCCACACATGCATAGTTGTTTTTTTTTTATTCACCTCAAGCTGCCCTACCTCTTATTAATGTTACAAAAGCAGTCATCCGAGCCATGGATGACTGCTTTTGTAACATCCTAACTCCACATTTAAGAAGGTTGCGACACATACTGGTTGTGTCTAATTTGAAGATGAGGTTAGATAAGTGGGTTTGGTTGATATGTTGAAAAGGTGTAGCATGACGTATTGACATTACCACATGACAGGCTGATATTGTCCACCGGTCATCAATTCAGTCATTCTTTATCAGTATTGTCCTTATCCTTTATGCTCCTGACCCTATTACAAATGACCGTGACATGCACGGCCGACTTTTACAGCCTATCGAATTGGAGAACACCCAGTTTAACTCTATGTGCATTTTGTATCCATAACTCTGAATTCCAATTGCGACAGGCGTTCCGACACATATTTCTCTATTCAACGTTTCAAACATGGCTGGAGGGTAGTTCGTAACTGTTCTATTACACTGTCAGTTCTTATGATCCACCCCGTGATATGTATGGAAATGGAATGCAAAGCTGTTTTCGTACTATGCTGCTTCCGGCAGGATGATCAGAGCTGAGTAGCATTTATGATCACTAGGTATTAGCAATGCCTTAAGACTCTGTGCTACCGGCAACAACAGTGGGATCGGCCTGCATGATTTACCTTGTCTGGTGACTAACGACAAATAGAGGATTTTGATTAGATACTATATTTCTGGCTCATTTATTTTCTTCAATATTAGCGTCTTGGCTGATTTTAAGCTTCTGATGTCACTTGCATCTTTCACCATTGTAAAATGGGGTATATCCTCATCGAACTGAAGAGATCATATATGCCGCAATACTATTCTCTTCGCAAGGACGCTCTCGGATCTGCCATCTCAACACTGTTCAATGAGTCTGAAGTTCAATCATCCATGTGTTCTGGTTTCGAGAACGAATTAACCGTTGTCCACAACTTGCTCGAACCGTGCACTGATGGTACAATATATCGTAAGTTTTAGCCACTTAAGTTCGCGACTAACCTCTTGTTTTCCAGTAACAGATCCCTGATTCTGGGAAATGCATCCTGCTTTGTAGTGGTTGAAGATAAGGGTGCATAATTAAATCGAATATCTATGAATTGAGTATCCTTTTGATCCAAACTTAGGTCAAGTCCCAAGATCCAGTCTGCTACATCTCCCACAATGGGTCAATATTTAAAAAAAAACTTAAATCCCCTATGATGCGAATGGAGTATTCATTGATTGTATTGTAATAGAATGATTATTCATCACGATGATTTTGGCATTTGCCTATTTTCTGGATCTGGTGTTCGCTGGGTGCGATGTAAATATTCAAACGTCAATTATCGCTTTACCGGCTCCCATTTTATTGTGAATAGAACACGGAACATTCATTCACAATAGAATTAAACCACAACACTGATGTAAACATAAACAATGCCCGACATCAATTCCCCAAAATTCTCATTGCCATTTCTTCTGGAAGAGATTTTTGAACGATTTTCCACTAACTCTAGTCGTGAGGATATAGGCAAGTAAACAAAATATTCAAAATTTCAATATTCCTAAATCTACATTTATTTTTATAGGTGAAATATTTGTTGAATTGGATGCACTGCTGGGTCCACGTGTGGTACAATCAGCTTTACAATTATTGGACTATCAAAATATTGTTATATATCACAACAGCACAAAAACTCAGCAGATTGCTGAAATCAACGAAGGATATCGTCACGGTGTTCTAAAATTGGTACGACTATTTCCACGCATAAACTACTGCACCTGTGACAACTTTCAGCAACAAGTGGTGGGCAAGCAAACTAATCCTTCCACGGCGCCCTACACTTGTGAACACGTATTGGCCTTGCGTTTGGCTTTTCTTCTCAATAGCGATAAGTTACGTTTTGAAGAATTACCGGCACATAAATTGAAGACCCTGTTCACAAGGTTTCTCCCAGAGAATGTCATACAAGATTAATTGATATCTCCATTTCAATCAATAGTTTATTAATCTGATGCAACATTCGAAAATTCTATATGAGAAAGGAATTTTACATAACAAGAAAATGCTGACCCAATCCCAATATTCCAGTTTTAAATTTGTGGCCCGGCTTGATCAAATAAAAACCTTTACAGCTGGCATTAAGGCATTGCTTTTTGGTGAACATGGCGCCTTTATGATCAATGAGGATGGCTTCACTTGCACTGTGGAACAGGGTAAATGTATACAAGCCTCGCTGTTTATGATGCCCGCTTGTTTCTCGGAGTTCCATGTTGATGGTGTGGTACATTTCAATGTCAACATGAATGTCCTCAACGAATGTTTAAGCATTTTTGCTGGCATTGATTGCACAATGAAAATGTTCTACAAAGGGCCGGAAGCTCCACTAGTATTGGTTTTGGAACCCAACGATGAAATTGATATTAGTACAGAGTGTTCAATTAAAACCACCGCACAAGAAGAACCAATGGAATACTCGTTGGATGATAATAGTTCCAGTTTAAATGTCATTTTCATACGCGGCCCTGATTTGTCCAATATTTTCCAAGAATTTGATAAATCTACTGAAGAATTGGAAATAACCATATCACCGCGTAGACCACATTTTAAAATTGACACGCTCGGAGTTATGCAGTCCGAATCGAGTATTGAAGTTGCAAAATCTAGCGATATGATCCTAATGTTTAATTGCCGTGAAACAACAAAGGCTCGCTATAAATCATCACTGGTTCGGATGACACAAAAAGCCTTATCTGTGGCAAGCAAAGTAGCCATAAAGACTGATTTAAGTGGCCTCATGGAAATGCATTTTATGCTGCAAGATGATAGTCAGGCTGAAGTTTATATACAATTTTTTATAACACCATTAGCCGATATGGATTAATATATGAGAATATTTATAAATTGAGTGTGTGTTTTTTATTTAATTAATTTCCATGGAAAACTTCTGGGAATAAAAATGGATCTACCATAAAAATGACACTGGGTTAATAATGTAAGTTATTTAGTGGTCATTTCATTCGGATACATTTAGTCCATTAAGGATAACAAAGAAGAAGGATTGGATGATGAAAATTATATGTTATATATAGGGCGTGAGAAGTCTAACTTTATACTGCCAGGTCGCTCAACCCATTGTATACCCGCCTTCTAGAAGTTTATCTTCTGGATTTTGTCAATAGGTTGTATAACAGACCCTCAATATGGTAAAATGTTCGAATCCTCAAACTTAACTCCACTTTTATGGACCCCCCAATTCTATTGTTATTATTGGTATAGATTTTCTATTGACCAAAAGCTCCAAATTACCTATATAGAATGTGACATTATATGGGTTCTATAACTGAGCCTATAATTATACTGTATAATTCTAAACTTCTTGGGATAACTTTCGATATTTATCAACCAGAATGTGAAACATAGGAACAAGGCCCTAAAAGCTCCCACTGCCAGCATCTCCGCGGCACATTGCACAGGGCTTCTGATATTATAGTGGACGTCAATAGATCGTCCATAATGATATCCGAGAAGACTGCGGTCTCCAAGATCACAAAAGGCAACATATGCAATAAAGTTCAAAAGCAACACCCTCTGCAATTATGTACATCTTGGGAAACACGTTCCACTCCAGCATTATTACGATTCGGATATAACAATGTTCGGCTTAAGTCACCTTTATGGTTATATCGTGGATGATTATTACCACATATATTCTTGTGATCTTGATAACGATATATTTTTTTCTTCCCGATTTGAATCTCAAAAGTTCCGTTATGATCCTTGCATTTCCCAGTCAGTTTAAATTAACTTAGGCAATATGGGTATCATTTAGAAGCTGTCGATGTCCTAATTACGACTATCTCTATAAGTAGCGAGAAAGTGGCTTCGATATATTTAAAATAAGATTCTGTTGTCCAGCCGGTGTTGGCATCTGATCATGGAAGAAACCTCTAAATCCCCCATAAAATCTTTTCTATTTATCTATCCATTATTCTATTTATCTATCCTATATTTAAGAAGCGATTCTTGAAAACTATTCTTTAAAAAATCCACTCTTGTTGTACACCTTAAAACTATTCTTTAAAAAATCCACGCTTGTTGTACACCTTAAAAACTGTTCTTAAAAAAATCCACGCTTTTCGTACACCTTAAAAACTGTTCTTTAAAAAATCCACGCCTGTTGTAGACCTAGAGAAATATTTTTTAAAAAATACTCGCTTGTTTTAGACCTTGGAAACTATTTTTTAAGAAATCCACATTTGTTTTACCTTGAAAAATATACTTTAAAAACAACGCTTGTGATAGTCCCTAAAAATTATACCCTCTGAAAAGTACATGCTGTGGTAGTCATTTGTTCTGTTCCCGTACTGCAAGAATCTACTACTTTTTACTACGATAACGAATTTTCCTTTATGATATCGAAGAAAATAGTAACATCGAGTAAAATGTTTTTTAACCAACCGTAGTGTTAGAACTTAGAAAATATTTAAGAAAATCCAATGTTCTATGTTAATCCGTATAAATATGCCATAAGAAACAATTATATTAATTTAGGGCTACCTAAATCAAATAAATCGATAAAACGAAAGTCGAACTTTAAAACCCTAACAATCAACAGCTGTTGCTCCATTGTTGCCCACTACTGCCGCGCATGTATTTGAATTGTAGTGTTTGTTGTTGTTGTTGGACAATTACAACCGCGGCTGCTGTTGCTGCATAATTTATTGGACAACAGAATGCAATTGGAAAACATATCCTCGATCCTGTTGCTATAGAAACGAAAACGGAAAACCAAGCGACATACACAAAATACAACAAAGTAAGTTGTCAATTTTTATTAACATTTCACTTGAAAACGGGTGGCAGTCGAAATTTTTTTTCTCTTACAGCCTGTTTTTGTAAAATTCCAAACGAACGAATTCGAGTGACTTACGACCAAACCTTTATTTATGTTTATAAAGGTTTTCTGATTCAAAACAAAAATAAATGACATATTTTTCAAAACCAAGGAGTTTGGTCGTAAGTCACTCGAATTCGTTCGTTTGGAATTTTACAAAAACAGGCTGTTAATAACTTTTTTCATAATTCAATTAAGAAAAATTCATAATTTTTATTGAATAAATCGACATATTCGAAATATATATTTCATTATTATTAATTGGATTAAATATTTATTATCCATCTCTTCAAACAAACAAAAAATGGAAACATTACTCAAACATCTCGAAGACCATCAAATTGAAATTACGAATTTATATGGATTAAACAACATAATAAACTCAGCTTTTGAAGAAGGAAAAGGTGAGAACAACGAAATCATCGGTATGGATAAAATAACCAGTAGCATTAGAACGCCACAACGGAAATATGTTTCCATTTTCCGCATCGATGGAGAACCCATAATACCGCCATTGGTAGGTTTCTAACCGAATGAACATTTATGAGTGTGGAAGCAAAAAAGCTTCTGTAAAAAAATACATCAATACAACTGAAGCGTACAAATAACATACAGTTATTAACCATTGGCGTAGTGAAGCATTTTATGTTGGGAATACAGTGTACCAGCTATGGAACCTTATATATGGAATAATCCAATTTATTTATTTATTCCCTTTATCAAATAAAACTAAAGTGTCCAAGGCCGTTTTGCCTATTAAATATCATAGGAAAGTACAAGGTTCCAGAAGAGGAACTATGAAGGCCCATACCTACATATAGTGAACATTTCAAAAACATTAAGTTATTATTACTTTATTTTATTTGTGTTGAGCCATTATCCTTAGCTATATATAAGGGATAACATCCATTTTCGGGCGCTCAGAAGTTGTTAAACATCCTAGCATATTTTGAAGGTCCTAGAGGTATTTTTTAAACATCAGCCAAAATGTGGACGTTAGAAAGAATTCCCCAAAAGTTCTGGCAGCCACATCCATGTCAAAATATGGTGAAACTTTACCGTCGAATACAAGGCCATCAGTCGTAGCATCCTTAAATATGCAGCTCCGGTTCTTCCTTTTTGACCCATAGAGAATAAATTTCCAAACACCCCAAAATAATGCGCTACGAATTGCAACGTGTTGTATTCCAAAGAAGAGCATCAATCACCTATCAAGTGAAGCTACATAATGTCAGCTGCCATGCCATGCCAACCGTCAATAGATTGTCGATAGCTACCTTTGTAAAAAAAATGAGAAGGTATTCCTTCTGATTAGGAGACAATTCCAGTCGTAAGGAAGTAAGCCATTTTGTAACTGACAGTCGGAAGGATTCCAACATCGTGTACACTGGCTAACCCTGTCAAGGCTTCTACTAAAGTTGTGACTACGGGTTCCCACATAACAGGAACAAAAAAGTCCAACATCGAGTCAGAAGCAACAAACATTTTCGAAATTTCCCCAAACCTCTTGGCAATGAAGAGAATGAAGTCGACAGATGAACACCGGCCTGCTGTAAAAGGCCATCGTTGCTACAGACTATGTAACCCTCTGTCTCGTATGCATCGACAGGATCCTTCGAAGCCAACAACAAAACATAACGTTACCAAATAAGTCGGAAATGTTCGCAGTCATTGACGGCTAATCATCATTGACATGCTCGTTGAAAACCTTGAAAAATAGTCTTTAAAAAATACACGCCTGTTATAGACCTTGAAAATATGTCTTTAGTTTTTAAAAAATCCACGCTTGTTGTAAACCTTGAAAAAATTCTTTAAAAAATCCACGCTTGTTGTAAACCTTGAAAAAATTCTTTAAAAAATCCACGCTTGTTGTAAACCTTGAAAAAATTCTTTAAAAAATCCACGCTTGTTGTAAACCTTGAAAAAATTCTTTAAAAAATCCACGCTTGTTGTAAACCTTGAAAAAATTCTTTAAAAATTCCACTCTTGTTGAAGACCTTGAAAATATGTCTTTAGTTTTTAAAAAATCCACGCTTGTTGTAAACCTTGAAAATATGTCTTTAGTTTTTAAAAAATCCACGCTTGTTGTAAACCTTGAAAAAATTCTTTAAAAAATCCACGCTTGTTGTAAACCTTAAAAAAATTCTTTAAAAAATCCACGCTTGTTGTAGACCTTGAAAAATATCCTTTAAAAATCAACGCTTATTATAGCCCCTGAAAATTATAACCTCAAAAAGTACATGCTTGTGTTAGTCATTTAATACAATATTTTTTTTTAAATCCGACTTGTCGATATAATGCTGCCACTTGACTGCAAAAACACTGAGTTTCTAATTTTAGTTTATAAGAGCCGTTACGAACACCCTGGAATCTTAAAAAAATTCAATCATAAGTTTCAAATATTTAAAACCTAATGACCGATTTCTCTGTCCAAAGTGTAAAATATTTTCACTACGCCAATGTGTATTTTAAATGAAGCGCAACGAAATAAACATACATAAAACTATTGCCTCATATAGTTATGCAAACGATTATAATTTTCTTGTTTTTCTTGCTATCTTGCTTTTTCTTCTTGTTATTCTAGATGACTTCAGAGAAAATAAGACAAATGCAAAAATACAAAGAAAAAGCCATGAAAATCGAACAGCGTTTGAAGGAACGAAAATTGCAAAAGAACAAAGAAACGGCAACAACAACAGCATTTAATAACGAAGTTCATTGTGATACACCACGTTCATCAATAGCCACCACAACACCTGGCGATAATTTATCTCATAGGTCACAGGATTCATATGATCAACGATTAAAAGAATCTGAAGAATCAATGTTGCTACTCAAGGACATTATACGAAGACAATCGGAACAATATGAAAGTGTTAATGAAGATAAACTGAAAAAATTGCAAAAATCAGAAATACTTATTTATGATAATTCGAAAAATGAAGTTATCAAACAAATACCACATAATGATGAGAATAAATCTTCACACAATGTAATGGAAAATCAAGATAATGATTTTATCGAAACAAATGTGACCTATACGTTGCCAAGAAAACCCAATTATTTGGAGTTAAGTGGTATCAATGATACCATAAAATCAATACCCTCAATATGCATTAACCCACCAACACCCTTAATGCCAAATCGTTCAATTTGTGAACCATTGCCAGTTAAATGTAACAATCACGATAGTTTCTTTGTCACTGAAACAAAACATATTCGCCAACATTCGACAGATGATTCCAGTTCGGATGACAGCTGTAATAGTATGTACACGCATAGTGAGAAGAAAATACCACCACCAGTGCCAGAGAGAACTTACAAATTACCACGCAGTTCTAAAATCCATGATTTAAAATCCTACAATAACACAACAAATGTTTCGGCTAAAATTCAACAATACCAAGCAATTAGCAGTGAGCATTCAACTCCGCGTGTTACACCCAATGCCAGTCCTAAGAAACAATCCCAAGAAGTGTCGAATATGGGAACACCATCTGCAGTTATGAGTCGTTCAGCTACAAGTCCTTCAATTAAACTGGGCTCTTCAGCAACTAGGCCCCTAACTGTCACGGATTCCTCACAAATATCACCTGATAATGGTCTTGTGAGATCTTCATCTTTCACCCTGGAAGGTCCATCAAAAGCCTTAATCGATCATATGCGACAGCAAAGATCTATAAGCGATAGAACTCCTACAACTTTGAATTCCAATAAAACCACCATTTCACCACCCAAAGAAAGCTTCACCACAACAAAGAAAGTTTCACCACCATCTAGACTTCATCGGGATACAATCGAATCAAAGGCCAAACGTGTACAGAAAGTTGAACTTAAGCCAACACGACAAAAAATCCAACAAAAGACCTCTCAACACAAAATGGCTCAGTCAGCCGTTGCCTCTATATCACCATACAAATCAAAATCGGCTTCTTCATTTCCCAAACATAGTAGTACAATAAATTTGTACAAAACAAAAAAGTCGCCATATGACACACCAACATCTACAAGAATTTCCCCAACCACACCATCATCTGCAAAGAATACTGGTCAAACCAGGAAGTCGCCACCCTCATCATCGGCATCATCAACGGCTTCAAGCCAACGAACAATAAATAAATCTAAATCATCCAGAACCAACCAAACAGCAAATTCAAATCAAACCTCTAACACCACAATCTCACCCGAAAAAGAAGTCGTAACACAAATGGATAAAATGCAAAGGGAGAAATTCCTAAAACTACTCAAACAACAGGAAGAAGAACAACGCAAACTTAAGGAATCATTTGAATTACAGCAAAAACTTCTCATTGAGCAATTAAATAAAGAAATGGCCACAGTTCCGGTGTCCGTAACGCCTAAACACACTACACACCATGAATCGAACACCTCAAGATTTTCCCCCGAAGAAACTACTCTCAACGACATATCACATGATAATAGTTCCATATTACCTTCGCATATAAAAGATGATGATAAAAATACCTCCATCTATCCACAAGTGCCTCCTCTAGCTATATCGAATTTATCTTCAATGGATCATTCAAATGCCAATACCTCAATGGAATCAGCAACGTCAACACGTTATAGTGGCCACTATATAGATCAGAGTACATATCGTACAGATTCGTTGGCAGACGATGAAGACGTGCTAACGCCCATCGAACAACGTTATACTACAATTACGAATAATGCAAATTCTTCATCACGTCGTCGTCTTTTCCCCCAGGAACATATGATGACGACAACACCATCTACTGCTACATCCATGGATTGTAACTCATCCTCTTCCATGAGACCTCTAACATTCACACCACCAAGCAACAATCATCATTTAAATGAAACTTTACAGCAGCAACAACAAAATACTAAGAATTCGGTTAAAGGTTTCAGTGCAGTGACAACGGGTAGCGTCAACAGTAAACGTGTAAGTTTTTGTTTTTTATTGATTTCATTTTTTTCAGTTTTGTGTTTTTTGTTTATAATTTATTTTTATACCTTCCGCCATAAGAGTTTAGGGGTGTGTACATTTTGTGATTCATTTGCTTAAGGTCGCATTAGTTTTTATATTTATGGTCAGGTTAAATCTACGAGTTCTCTGTTTATCCTTTGAAATCAATGTCGAACTCTATTTTGTTAGATAAGATATAGCCTTAGAATATTAGCTGTAATTTGGCTTTTTGAGATTTGTTGAGGATAAAAAACTATCGGAATGTAGTGTGGCCCATGCCGCAACACTATAGCACTATAGTGAATATCCGACTGGCACTAGGGGATTTCAATACCCATCACGAATTATGGTATTCTGTCCTAGTTAATGTTTAGAGGGACAGCTTTGGCGAGGAAAGAAATAGATCGGCGTAAATTGGAATTGCTCTTAGGACGTACAAGGATGAGCTGTCTAGGAATAAAGAAGGCAATTGGAGGAAATTCGTAAATGACTATAGAGAAATCCATATATATCTTATATACATATATAGGTTGACATTGACACGGGGGATGCGTACCAACTCTACGACAAACATCTGGGAAGTTTCTTACCGGGTTCGTAGACTACGCCATTTCCTCTACATTGTTTATGGATTGGGGGAGCCTCCGAGTTTGAATCGCAAAGAAGTTGCGGACAGTTTTACCGGGTCAGAAGTTGTGGTTTTGCTTAAGTCACTTGATCGAGTGATCTGCACTCATAACGGGGCATAAGTCTTCTTACAGTTCTTGAAAATGATTTGGATTATGGTGACACGGCTTGAGAATGCTACAATGAAGGTACGTCCTTGTATCAGTTCGGTTTTACCGAAGGTCATGGATTTCATTTGTGGATTTCACATAGCGTGCTCACAAGGATGTCGGAGATCGGTTGCAGGGAAACAGCTCTTTGGGCTGGTTATTTCCGAGATAGGAAGGCATGTGTCGTGGAGCCAGTGTTTCGGTCTGGAGGGATTTGCGGATGTGCTCACAGGAACCTTATGATGGATCCTCTGTTGCGGGAGCCTGTTGCCTAATTCAAGGATTGTGCATATACTTACGACTTGCTCATCATGATTGAATTGAAAATAGGTGATTGGTCTGAGCATTATTCATACCAGAACAGTATATAGAATACCAGAATGTTGTACTCGAGGACCATAGCAGGATAAAAACATCTACTTGCTAAAATTCTCCGGGATATAGAAGGATCGTCCTTTTGCTAATAAAAATAATTTGGGAAACGACCCGACTCGGTCAACGTCTGTCACCTCAGTCCATTGTGTAAAAGCAGTATGGCTGCTACAACAACACGTGTGATTAACTGAGGATCCCTGTTTCATTGTACAGACTGCAAATATTAGTTATAATAGTAGTATCTTTGGCTATGAAGTTGGGTAGAGACTATAGTCTGTGGCTATGAACTTGACCGAAGGTGTCGGTAGAACGGATGTCAGGGCCATTATGACTGCGGACCTAGCCTGGCAGTTGGTATTGGCGCTTCGGGGAGCATTGTGCTGAAGGTGACTTAAACCTAAATCGCAGGTAGAGCTTTGGCTCGGTGTGGAGTTGCATTACAACCGGGTGCCTGACCCATAGAAAGGCAGGAGTTTTTGATGGGCTCTGCTCCTCATCCAAGTTGATCACGTCCAAATACGTGTGATCGATTGGTACCTGTAATTTGGTGTGGGGGCATACTGTAAGCATCTCTGTCATAATCTTAATGAATAGCTTCCCCCAGTTAGTTACAGTCAACATAGATCTTACTGATCATAAGAGGGGTCCAAAGGAACAAGCGTGAACCTCTAGATAAATACGCGCCACAATTGCATTTTTATAGTTTCTATGTAACATTTTCCCCAGATTTTTAGCATTTTGAGTTCTTAATGTCACATATATTGGTATAGCTCCCATATAACAACGGTACCATTTAATTTATAACAACGGCACAATTTTATTTATTTTTTGAAACCGAGAGGGGGCGGGAGGTATATCCTTAAACGATAAAGATTTCGTTTTCAAAAGAAGACTGAAATCGGTCATGCCTGCAAAAAATCGTACTCTTCGTAAATGATTTGGATTTGTTGAATATTAAATTATTTATGGTGGAAGGTATGACATTTCGGCATGATCGAATATAATGTATTTTTTACGTTTTTTGTTATTATTTATTAATGTTTTATTAAATTCTTAAATACATATTATTTTTCTTGTTACTTTCTTATCAATGCTTCAGTACTAATATTTATATTGCAATTCTGGAATAATATCAAGTACAATTACTAATAACAATAATAACTCAAGACTAACACATGGGATACTAACAACTGGATCAATCAATAACTGCATCATTTACCATACTAACTTCACAACAAATTTGCTCCAATTTCAAATATGCTCATCTAACAAAAAAGTGCCTTAATTAATTAGTTAAACAAACGATATTTTTACTATAAATTTGTATGAGAAATTGTTATATACATATATTTAAATATTCTATTAACCACCCTACAACTATATATTATCAATAAATTCTATATTTAGCACCAAGTGCATTTTGTTAGTTCGTATGTATCTACCGATTGTAAAAAACATTTTGCATTGTTAAATAAACTAATAAAAAATTTTGAAAATTATCGACCTTTTGAATAGGAAATACATCAAATGAATGTTTTACATGCGGCAGCCACGACCATAAATGCTTATGCTCGTGGCTTTCTCGTGAGACGTCTCTTCAAGACGGAACAAATTCAACGTATCGTACAAACAATACACGATACATTGATATTTGTTTTGAATTTACATCTGGAGACATGTGAAAACCCCAATGAAGCGAATAATCCAACAAATATAAAACTCAAGGCCAGGCTTTTACAGCAGGTGAGATCAATGTTTATATGTAATTAATTTAAATATGTTTTAAATAATCGTTTTAATAGCTTTCATCTGCAACCCAAACATTGCATGTGGTACTCTTTCAAACATCCATTAAAGAGAGAATGGATATTATTGCACAGGATCGAAAACGTATTAAACACAAATTACTAATGACTATGAGTCGTAACAGGTATTTATTATTTCACTAAGAAAATACGAGAAATCCTCTATATAGAATGCAAACTAGTTTGATTGGGTATAATTATAGATTTTTTTTTAAAATAATATGACAATTCAGAGACCACAAGCATAGGTAAAAATTGGCACCAGGTCTGATAAATTACTTAAAAATGAAACCTGACATACGAGCTTTTAAAATTCTTGATAAAAAATTATTTGGGCAACCGTGGCGTAGACCCTTACTGAAAAAATAAATAACTATCAACACCTACACTAGATACATACTTTAAATTGTGTCTCCTCCTGACGCCAGTGCATCATCTTCATGAGGAAACGATGATTATTCTCGTCTATCGACACTGCAAAATGTTGTCGAAGTAGTATCTGCTTGGGTGTTAGAGAAAGTCTCAAAGGTGTCTCTACATCAACAGGCCTATCAGGCAGCTCTTAAAATAATTTATATAGATAATGACACCCAGGCAGTTCATAGACTTCATAAGATCTGAACGCTCCACTTTCCTGCACCTTTATTCACTGCGCTACAGTGTAATCCATCCCCTGACAGCTTAAAGGAATTTCCATAAAATCGTTATTGGCCAATGAACGTGACGATCTTCGTACGATCATTGTAGATCCGAGGTTGAGAGAACTTAATCTTAAAGTAAACATACTAGCATGCTAGCATAAAAAAGTGGCTTGACAATGCAACATTGTGACCGGAACAAGTAAATTCTGACCAACGGTTATGTCAATTTCGAACCCGGAAAGGAATTAACATCAATACTACAGGCCTTCAGTAGCAAAGACATTTATGGCGCTAAACCTCTCATGAATGGGAATAGTTTTCCAGAGGTCCTTAATATGTTCCCTACTACGCCACAACCCAATAGTTATGGTGACTTTTGACCTATCGAGGGACTTCGATACCGTTAACCTTAACAAGCTGTTCGAGAACATAGAACAAGTTTCTTCCCCGTGAGGAATATGAAAATAACCGCCACCAAATTCACAGCCGCACTGTTCGCCATTTGGACTGCTGAAATGAAGCTCCTGAAAATAATGGTCGAAGTAGAACAGATTCTGATCACCAATTGCCCTAATATATTGGGTTAACGTTCGACATGTCTTTAAATTCGTCTGAGCAAAACCCTGCTATTTGCGATAGAATCAAGGTCATTAAAGCGATAGCAAAGCCTACTATAAGCTATATATCGGTCAGTTATCTATCATATCCACTGCGTATAACTGTCAAAAGGGTGTCTCCTTATGACACCAGTGGACCATCTTCATGAGGATGCAGTACATGATTGGGTGTTATCGTCGGGAACACCCCTGCCATTTACTTGTAGAAAGGCTTTTCCACTCAGACAAATGTACCTCAAGATCAACAGGTCTATCAGTCTGGTTTGAATAGCATTCATACAGAAGCAATCGCTTAGGTAGTGGAACAGTGCTGTATGAATGCCATACTCGCCGACCATCTACCATACGTAGCACCAGAGGAGAAGCAGATGCGCAGACAAACCATACCATAGCTAACATCAGGATGGTGCAACCTCCTCAATTCCTATTTGGCCCAGCATGAGGATTTGTTCCACAATATGAAATTTTGCTCTTCAACTGATCAGGCTTAGTTACCGAGTCCTTACCATCGTAAGAGACTATGCCATGGCCGACCTCAAATCTTCATAATCTCTTTTTTCTATGGAGCCGAATTTTAATACCCCCTTCTTCTAAAAATAATAAAAACAATATATGCGATTTTTTGACTGATGCTGGTGAGGCTCCCTTGGCAACCTCTACAAGGTAAGAATTCAATCAACTCACACTGGGCCATTCTTTTGCCTCAACCCCAATGCCTGGAGAGGCAGACGAACCTTCTCCTTAAACTTATATAGAAAACCGGGATGCTCTCCGCCTTAGTCAGCAAAGCGTCCCGAATCAACTTTGGGACGACTCTCTCTTGACAAACGAGGAAGACGTCATGGATTCTACTGCGATTAGCACTACAGTGACTAACACAATAGCTTCCTGGTGACTCCACCAAATCAAGGTAAGTCCTCTCAGACAATGAGTAGGGACGCAAACCCTGGCGAGGAAGAGGATAATAACTTCACCTCCACGGCCTGTAGTGAAGTTTCGAGACTTCTGAGGTGCATACTGGGGCTGATGAGCTTCCCATCGTCATGAACCGAGTTAGCGTCAAAGAGTTCTTTGAATAGAAGATTAACCGGATAGCGTTTAATTACTGCAACCAGTTTATCGGACTGGATAGAGACTCGATTACGGATAAGAAGTTCTTCTAATTAAGTTCTTTAAATTCATCCGGAAGTTCTCCAGGAACTAAACCAATGATATTGCGTGTGACTTCTTAATTCATAGAATCCCTACATTACTTGCGAAGTCCACCACAGTAGCCCCTCTAAAAGAGGAGAATACTGTGAGTGGCCTGAGTACAACTAGGACGATGATGGCTAGGACTTCTCCGCCTTCAGCATTCCCCAAGGAGCGATGAGCGATGAGAAATCTCTGAAGCCATCATCCACTGCAACTGAGGGTAAGGGTCTGTCAAAGTCATCACCAAGGAAAGCCCGTAAAAAGGCCTCCAGAAAAGCTGATAAGTCACAACCTTCCTCTGTAAATCCGCCCACTGCCGAAAACGAAATCCAAGGTTATGACAATTGGGCAGTTGTTGGTGCATAAACCAAAGGTGGCGAACACAAAGCGTGTGCTCGCGAGCGGTATGTTAACTTAAGATGGCGTGAAAGTAACTGCTAAATAGTAATCATAGAGTTAGTTGTTTTGAACGTCAATGTTGACTTTGCATTATAAAATAAATTTCACAATAAATAGAAAATTGTCGAATGAGATTTGTTTGCACTCTATTGCTATATTCAAAATTTAATAAATGTTACTCCTTCATTTTTCCATATTTTTCAGTTCATCAAGAAAAACTCCACGCATTCCAGTTTAAACAAATCTTCGAAGAAGCGAATAATTTATTTTTGTCGAAGTAGTGGAACAAAATTTGAATTAAACTACTAACAAAGTAAAATAATCTATCGCACAAAACACAAGCATTTAATTATACGATAGAACATAATTACAAACATACGTATATTTATATATTTTCTAAACAAAACATATTTAACAAGCATTTAAATAAAAAAAGAGTTTGAAACTCAATATATATGTTTTTTTGTAATGAACTAAATGAAGAAGAGCATTAATAAAAAATACACAATAAAAACAAACAACTAATTTTAATGACACGAAGGTGCAGCATATTGATTAAGCTTTTTCAAATCTTCCATGCTGTAGCGTAACAACATTGAGGAACATTCATTTTTAGTTTGGGAATCATTCGATGACGATAACTTATTTCCGATATCGTTCTTTAAAAATGTTAAGGGTTTCTGTGGGGTTTCATTGGGGTTTTCTGAATTGGATGATTTTGTTAGAATTTCATTAATTTTTAAACAATTTTGTAAAATTTCTTCACGAGTCTTGGAGGACTTATCTTTATCATTAGCAGTGGTATCAGATGCTGCCCGTCCAATGGCGATATGTGTTTCCATATGCTTTGGTATTTTACGTTCACATTCAATATCATTTTCCTTCTTGTATTCATTGACGGCCTTTGCAAATGGATAAAGTGGCCGACCTTTTTGTTGTGCATCTTCAATGAGATTTTTGGCATAATCGAAGAAGAATTTATCTTCCTGATCGGCCTTATCCTCATTACATGTAATATTGGCTTGTTTCTGAGCCAATCTATTACGTTGATTCTCTTCAATTTGTTTGTGAAGGAATTCCCGCATTTCCCGGGCATTTGCCAAACGTTCTTGTTGCTGTTTCTCGGCAAATTTCTGATTGACTTCTTCGTTCTTGAATCGTTGTGCCATTTCGAAGCGTTTTTCTTCGTCTGCCCGACGTCGTGCCTCTTTCTGTTGTTCCATTTCTTTGAGATAGGCTTCGATGCGTGCCTTCTTTGCCGCCTTATCTTTTCGAATTTTCTCTTGCTCCTCGGCGGTGAATTTCAGTTGCATTGTGGATATATCACGGCGTACACGTTCCGATTCCTTGGCCTCAGTGTTATCTTCAATGGCAGATAGTTTCTTAACTTGTTCTTCGATCTTTTGCTGTTGATCGTCGGCAATCTTTTTGGTTTGTTCGGTGCGCAAGGCATCCAATTGGCGTTTCCCGGCATTGTACACACAGCATAGGCGATCCTCAACTTCATCGGTTAGTTTTTCGCCTGAGAAAAGGAAATATATGATATCATTCTGTACAGCACAATCGAATATAAAATAAAAGTACAGTCTAAATTGTTTATAACGACATAGATTTTAGCGATAATTCGGTTATAACGACAATATCATAAAGAGGGTTTCCCCTATTTCGTTATAAACGATTTCAACTGTATTGTAACCTACGCATTCTACGCTGCTCGACCATTTTCATAGCTTCCAAGGCATTCTTACGCTGTGCCTCACGTTTCTTTTCCATTAAGACCCGTTCTCTTTCCATTTGGGCCTTCATCTCGACATCATAAGTTGTCCGCACCAATTGCTGCTCCTTTAGCTGATGTTTCTTTTGTTCGTTGCGCACCTTTTCCTTTTCATGTATTGTCTGCAGTAATTCCTCCTTGTAGGCATTGGCATTCTTTTGTCTCTGGATCAGACGTTGTTGTTCCTCATTGATCCATGACATTGCCTGATCCTGACACTGGATTTTTGCTTCACATTCTTGTTTTTTCACAGCCTTTTTAAATTCTTCATTGATGTCCCGCTGAACGTTGCGAGCACGCAAAACTTCACTTTGCAGTGCTGCGGTGTGCAGTTGTCTTGGTCCCGGCTTCAGTTTTTCAATTAATTGTTGAGCTTTGGCAATTTTTTCACGACGTTTTTGAGCCTCATTTTCTTTGGTTTGTTCGTATGATTCCTTGGCTGGGAAAACGGAGAATTCAACAGGAAATAAATAAAATTAAATTGGCCATTAATTTTTGTAATCAAATATCATCTCCCAGACAACTATAGCCGAGCATATAGAGTATAATGATGCCAAATCGGAATGAAGCTTTCGATTGAGATACTGGTCAACGTTGGATGTTTACTTTTGAAATCGTCTTAACAATTCACTGCTATTTTCGAATAGATCAGAATTATAAATAGGGATCTAACCTTGGATTCATAAAAAGGGACATTTTCGATCCCTAAAAATTGTAGAATAGAATGTTACGCTTAGAATAAACTGAATACAACTTTTTAAGGTAAGTCCGGAAGGAGGAATAAAGTTCTTAAGGAGTTATTGAAAATGATTGGCATATTTTTTGACGTGAAACAGTAACAGGACACGAAGTCCTTATAATACAAACAATTCTCCATGATAGTCGGAGAATTCGGTCACTGCGAAATTTCCAAAAGAGATGGGAACCTTTATATGATGACAATGCCAATGAAAATTTTTTATTTGACTAAATAAAATACTGACACCCAGTTAGAAGCCTTTGGGTGAGATCCATGTCCAAAATTTACCTATATCGAAACTTCGAGACTCAAACCTACAATATACCGAACGAGAATCCGAAATGCCAAATCAAAACATGGACCCATTTCGATATTCTTCTGCAAAAATATTTTTTGCTTTCCGAGAACCCGCGTCAACTTTTTAAAGAATCAGTTTCTGAGTCGATTTATGCATGTCCATCCGTGCGCCTGTTTGTCTCATGTTATATTGTAAACAAAGTACAGGTCGCATTTATGATCCGATTTGGATGAAATTTTATACAACACATCTGTTTGGTCCAAGGATGAAACCTATTGGAAAAAATCGGTTCAGATTTAGATATAACTCCAATATATATTTTCATCCGATTTAATGTAAATGGTGTACTAAAGTCCCTGTATGTCTTACGATATGGACGAAATTTTGCATAACGCAATGAATTAAGTCCTGAATGATGTGTGTTAAGTTTCGTGAAAATCGGTTCAGATTTGGATATAGCTCCTATATATATTTTTCTCCAATTTTAAGTTAAGTTTATGTTACTGATGCACCAAAGTCCCAAAATATGGCCGATAGGCACAAAACGTACTGAAATAAGTATAACCTAACCTGTGACAAGTTTCATTGCAATCGGTTCAGATTTAGATATAGCTCCCATATATAGTATTGTCCGATTTTAAGTAAATGTTGCACCAAAGATCCAATGTTAGGCCGATTGCCACAACATTTTGCACACCGTACCGAATTAGGTCCAAATTAATGTGTGCAAAGTTATATACAAATCGGATCGGATTTAGATATAGCCAATATATGTTTTCGTTCGATTTTAAGTAAATGGTGTACCAAAGACCCAAAGTTAAAGCGATTGACACAAGATTTTGCACAACATGTCGAAGTTAGTATAACCTAATGTGAGAAAAGTTTCATTGAAAGCGGTGCAGATTTAAATATAGCTCCCATAGTTTCGTCCGATTTTAAGTTAATGGTTCAACAAAGACCCAATGTCGGCCGATTGGCAAAAAGGTTTGCACAAGGTACTGAAGTTAGTGTAGTCCAACGTGTATCAAATTTTGTTGAAATTGGTTCAGATTTAGATTTAGCTCATATATATATTTTCCTCTGATTTTAGGTAAATGAAGGCTCCAAGGATCTACGTACGATTTTAAGTAAATGGTGCACCAAACTCCCCATTTTTGTCAGATTGAGGCGAAATTTTGCACAACGTATACAATTGAGTATAGACTGACGTAATTGCTTTTTGTAGAAATGCAGACATAGCCCATATATTCGACCGACTTCATGTTTATTGGGTTTCAAATAATAATCCAAATGAAGAGTTTAGTATAGGTTATAGAATGGCATGATTATGGATTGATCTATTGATTGATTGATAGAGATAACATATTTTAGTTCATCCAATTTCATGTGAATGGTCCTTCGAAAATGCGACGTCTGTTAGAATGCAACTGTTGAATATACTCAAAGTGGTGATGGGTATCATATAGTCGGCCCCGTCCTACATTACTACTTTCCTTACTGGTTTTAATTTATTATTTTGAGTTTTCAGTGGGTGAAAAAGTTCTCTTCAAAAAAATTATAAATATCGGTCGGTTTGTGAAGGGTATCACAGAGTCAACCGTCTCATTTTTGTATTTTACTTATTGGTGTATACTATTCTCGGTTTGCTGAGCCCTTGTTTCCCTTATTGAACCGAGAATTGGTCTGAGGGCAAAAAAGTAGTCCTTCAGATCACCCAGATTAAAATTTTGTATACTTTCCATTTCCTTCCCATTACTTACCATCCTGAGTTTTCTTATACAAGTCATCTTTGATTTGTTGCATTTTTTGTTCCTGAGTCCGTTGCATGTTGCCTTTGAATTTTGCCACCAGTTTATCATTTTCTTCCTTGAGTTTTTCCAAACGTTGCTTTTCCTCGTCCAATTGTTGTTGTGTTTTGGATTTATCCATTGTTGTTGCATTGCTAATAATTTTATTATAACGCTGCGATGATAGAACAATTGGTTTTACATTACGACGATTATGTGACGATTCTTCCTTTTTGTTGTCCACTTTATGGTTGGACGTGAGGGATTTTTTAGTTTCCGTGGACATTGGAATTTAAAAAATAACACAAATTGTATTTTTCCAAATAATTGATAAATATTGCGTTTATTATTTCAAAATAATTTCCAATATTTGATATTTTCCAATGAAAGAATGAAAAAAGTGAGTGCCTACAAACACAACGGTTGCTGAGTTCTTTATTTTATTTTCAAAAAATAAATAACTTTGTTTCTAGGGTGATGGCAGGTTTGTTGTTTGGTCAAAATAAAGTTGTAGTAGCATTGTGAAATTTCCCGATCTTTGCATAGATAGAGTTGTTGTAATTTAAGACAATGTAAGCTTATAAATAATATGAGTTTTATTGTAAAAGCAACATATTTTAAATATTATTTTCTAAAGTTTAACAAAACCAAACAATAATGAATTAATTGAACAGCTGGCAACTCTTTAGATATGTTGTCGCAACCGTTGTGTGTATTGACGTTTATCTGTTGAAAACAGTGTTGCCAATGCACATGTAATTTCTTTGTCGATTTAAGGGCATTATAGTGCGAGACACGTGATACAACAAGTAAGGTAACCTCGTGTTCACATATGATCATTTTTTAATTTTGTCAAACATTTTTTTCATACTTTATTGGGAAATACACCAATTTGTCAGTTACAAAAGGCTTTTGGCTAATGAGGATAACTATATTTTGCTACGACTAAAATTTACGACTGATTTGACTTTTGAACCGAACTGAGCCGAATAAGATGATCACTGAACCGAATCCGAATAAGAAAATTTGGAATCGAATTACAAATGTCCGTCAGTCAACATCGAATATGGCCAATAGCAAATTTGCTCAAAAAAAATTTATAAAATGTAATCCAGACGTAGTATTCGATTTGAACCAAACTTTGAACCAAAAATAAGAGCTTGAACTCTTCTGAAAGAAGTGCTGGAAGTGTTTTTATTGAATAGCTAGAGGTTTGTATTACAAGAGCTTGAGAGAGAACCTGAGAGGTATTCCTATATTAGATCTTGAACTGTCCTTATAGAGGACCTGGAGGTCTTCACATAGAAGAGCTGGAGGTCTTATGGATAAGTTGAATGTCTTCTTTAGAAGAGCCGAAATCTTTTTAATTAAGAGCTATAAGTTTTCTAATTGAAGAGCTGTAAGCCTTCTTATGGAAGAACTTGGCGTCTTCTAATAGAAGAGCTTGAAGTCTTCTGATAGAAGTCTTCTCATATAAAAGAGTTGGTGATTTTCTTATAGAAGAGCTGGAAGTATATTGAAGCTTGAGGTCTTCACATAGAGGACCCGTAGATATCCATATAGTATATCTAGAGTTCTTCATTTTATCCTCGCACAATAACAAAAATGGGACGATGAATTATTTTGGTCAGGTTTTTGAATCGAATTGACTGTAGTTTGATATTGGGTGTGAAATCTCCATATCAAAATATTTACCAGGGTATAGCCTCCAAATACAACTACCGATCGATTATAATGTCAATCTCAAAAGACCCGCTCAATATCTACTAATAAAGCCACCCAGCAAACGAAAGACAGCTGACTAATGGGCTCGTTTAATGTGTTATAGGAACAGGACCATGATGCAATAATAAGGTGATGTATTAAAAAATATGTAGTTTTGTATCGACCATGTCAAATTTTTCCATATAATATTTCACATGGTTGGCAACATTGCACATCGAATTAATAGAAGTAGAAATTACGCACTTTGATAGTTAATCAAGTCATCAGCTGCGCTAAATGGACCACTTATTTATTGTGCCATGGTCAGGACTAATAATAAGGTCAGTTAGCAAGATCAGCTCTTTCTCAGGTTTGCTGCAAATAACATTATTGCGAATCTCAGAGTGAAAAACCCATGTTATATGTCAAAAATATTTTTTCACCAAATTACTCTCTCTCTCTCTTTTACCGAAATTTGTTGTAAAAAAACGTTATCGAACATCCTCAATGCCTATTCCACATGGTACAATTATAAAAGGTAACAGCAAATGCCAGCTGATTTGTTTCCAACTTAATACTAGTGTCAATATGAATTTGACAAATTATGTTGTTAAAAATCACCCAACAGGAAAATTGGGAACGCATACAATTTGAAATTGTTCTTTATTAAATATGCTCCCGTATTCAATTTACTCAATTTGCCTGCTGGGATAGTTGGAGGAAGCAAATATTTCTTCATTGAATAACTGGCCAGGGAATTGCCAGTTATTCAATTCAATTTTCATATGTGTTACACATATAAGTGGCAATAGCTCAATTACAGGAAAGATGTGGACGCGATAGAAATTCATTCATTCATATAAATATAATTTATTTGTTTGTTTACATTTTTCTGTCAAATGACGTTGACACTAGTATAACTTACAAAAACAAATTTCCATGTGGTTGTTGCATCGTTTGTTGTACAACATTTGCTGTTACCTTCTATTATTATACCATGCCTACTCCATTACACGAAGTTGCATGTTCAATGAATTTAAACTTATTTCACTGAACATACCCACTACAATTTTATAGCATTTGTTTATAGCACACACACATACATATTGTCATATTGTACCTTTCTCACCACCTGCTGTCAACCGTTACACTTGACTGATTTCAAATGAAAACAAACCCCCGAAAAGGATATTTTGCTGCTATCCAATGAATTTTGTGGACAGTAATTAAAACGCACAGCTAACGCAATGGTGGTGTGTCGCGGTGGTCAACAGTGTTAGTGAAATAAACAAAAAAAGAAATTGTTTATAAACATTATTTATTAAAAATAATAAAGAATAAAAATACAGCAGCAAAAATGACTGAAACCAATGAAACGACTGCAAGAAAATTAAATTTTGCCGATTTATCAAAAATACCGGCAAATGAATTCGAACAACATTTTCACGAATGGATGGAACGTGACGATGTGGCAAGAGCACTGCAAGCGAAATTACGCTGTGATATTATACAGAATTTTAATAAAACTAATTTGGGTAAGTTGTGAGAAAATGCCTTTTAATTAAAAAAATAAAAACAAACAAATAAATAAATTGAGTTCAAGACCCCTTTTGCACTTTTCCTTTCGAGACAATTTGTGTGTCATTTGGTCGTTGCTATGACAACCGTTTTTATACCGTGTAACATAAGGTGGAGTGTATTTTGAATTTGTCATTCCATTTGCAACACCTCAAAAATTTTACCGGTTCCTCCATAATATATATATGAATATATTTTTGACCGGAATAAAATTCTATCTTGACTGAAAGCGCGATTGAGTTCACAATATTCAAAATATAGCTTTGAAATTTTGCACATACATTGCTACTACAGGATTGGTATTGGAAATGAAACGGTCCAAGTTAATATTGCCCCCATATAACGGTACCACCAGATATTTGGTATTTTGGGAAGTTTGGTCAGGTTTTCCAGGGGTCTCAAAGGTTAACAAATACTTCAACCAAAAATAATAGTTGTCTACTTTTTAGTGTTGCCTCCATATAAGGTTACCTTCCAAATTTCGGTATTTTGGGGATATTGATTTCACTTTTCAACCGAATTGGCTTAAATATTGTACTTGGGGTTTATTTATTTTATAGCCCAAATTGTTCTACCAAGAGTTATCAATATTGGTCCACTTTTTAGGGTAGACTCTATATAATAGCACCTTCCCATTTTCGGTATTTTGGGGAGCTTGGGCTCGATTTTCAATCATATTGGTTGTAATTCAGTATTATGGATTCTCAGTGGGTAGCAAATATTTGTAACAAAAATTAGCAATATTGGTCTGCATTTTAGGGTATCCCCATATAACTTTACCTTTAAAATTTCAGTTTTTTGGTATGTTTCTCAACAGAATTCATTGTAATTTGGTACTTTTGATTCTCATTGGGTAGCAAATCTTCCTACTAAAAATACCATTAATATTGGTCCAATATTTATGGTAGCTTCCATATCAAGGTAATTCCTAAATTTAGGTATTTTCAGGAGTTTGAGCTGTTTTTTTTTCAATCGAATTAGCTGTACTTTGATATTTTGGTTTGTCATTGGGTAGATCTATCTATTTTATATCACGGGACCTCGCAAATGTGGATATTTTGGGGAACTTGGGCACGTTTTCAACCGAATTGCCTGTAATTTTGTATCTTGGTTTCCCATTTTTAGACCCCTCGTTCACAGCTCATTTATTTGGCTCAAGGACGAACTCTATTGAAATTGGGAAAAATCGGTTCAGATTTAGATATAGCTTCCATATACATATATTTTCGTCCGATTTAATGTAAATGGTGTACCAAAGTCCATATACATCTTTCGATGTGCACAAAATTTGGCATAGCGTACTGAATTAAATCTAGAATGATGTGTTTTAAGTTTCCAGAAAATCGTTTCAGATTAGATATAGCTCCTATATACATATATATATATATTCCTCCGATTTAATGTTAATGGTGTACCAAAGTCCATATACATCTTTCGATTTGGCATAGCGTTCTGAATTAAATCTAGAATGATGTGTTTTAAGTTTCCTGAAAATCGTTTCAGATTTAGATATAGCTCCTATATATATACCTCCGATTTAATGTTAATGGTGTACCAAAGTCCCTGTATATCTTTCGATTTGCCCGGCACAGCGTACAGAATTAATTCCAAAACGACATGTGTTAAGTTTCGTGGAAATCGGTTCAGATTTAGTTATAGCTCCCATATATATTTTCGTTCGATTTAATGTAAATGGTGTACCAAAGTCCCTATATATCATTCGATTTGCATAATGAACTTAATTAAGTCTTGAATGATATGTGTTAAGTTTTCTAAAAATCGGTTCTGATATAGCTCCCATGTATATTTTCGTTCGATTTAATGTAAATGGTGTACCAAAGGCCCTATATATCTTTCCATTTGCACGAAGTTTGGCAAAACGTACGGAATTAGGTCTATAATGATGTGTGTTAAGTTTTGTGAAAATCGGTTCAGATTTAGATATAGCTCCCATATATTTGTTCATCAGATTTAATGAAAATTGTACTATAAAGACCCAAAGTTTGCCCAATTGGCACAAATTTTGACCAATGTACTGAAATTAATATAAATTTATCTATGGCAAGTTTTGTTGAAATCCGTTCACACTTAGGCATAGCTCCCGCATAGGTTGCAGAAAGGCATGTGTATGGATTAGTCGGTTCACTTATAGATAAAGATCACATCGAAGGAACATGAAGTTGTTAGGATACATATGTAGAATATTCCCAAAGTGGTGAAGGGTATCATATAGTTGACCCAGCCAAGCTTTACTACTTTCCTTTCTGATTGATTATATTTTGGATTCTCATTAGCTAGAAAAGATTCCTATAAAAAACACTATCAATACTTGATCAAGTTTCGTGTTAGCCCTCATATAAAGCTACTCCCATTATTCGGTATTTTAAGAATTTCAGACCAATTTTCAACCAAATGGGTTCCCAATGGCTTTTAAATATTCATAGTATGAATTATCAATATCGGTACCCATTTAGACAGAGAGGCTGTAATTTGGCCTTCAGGGTTCTTCACAGAACATTTTCATAACAAGTTCATGTCACGTGTCATTTTCGGTATAATCGAGGTACTAGCCCATTTTTCTGTAGTTCTGTATTTTCTTCTCTCCTGGTCGTAATTTTCAATGGAATAGCCCCACATAAAATGCCGATCGATTATGTTTAAGGCTGGGCCCAACTTATCAAAATTTTAACTTACTTTAAATAAATATCAATTTCTATTTTTTTATTTTTAAAGGTAAACAAATACAAGCTCACACCATGTCCTCGACAGGCGGCTCAACATATCGTCTAACACTATCACCCTTAATTTTGGCCCTTAACACATTAGTAGCCGAGTTTCTATATGCCCAGAATTGTCACTTTACATTATCGGTATTTTGTACCGAAGTACCATTCCGCAACACGTTGCCAGATTTTGAAAGTATGCGACATTATCGTTTCAATGAACGAGAAATAAATGATATTTGGGAGGCAGTAACGGGGACAATGCCAATAAAAAGATGTTTAGATGCGGCAGTGCTAGATGAATATGAAACAGATGCAAGTACTTCGTTACTACTGTTGATTATAAAAAGTCTGCTTAATATGAAACCTCCGGAAATGTTACACAAAACTGTGGAAATTCAAACGGATAACGATAGAGTTGCTCCCGCACACCATTGTCAACAAAAACAATCCGTATCAGTACAAACAACAAATGTACCTGAATCACCCACCAAGTCAACCCCAAAAGCCGATAATTTACGTCACATAAATAAATATTTACTAATTTTATCACAAAAAGTCAATGAAATGACCCGAGAGTTTGAAATGCTCATTAAACAACGAAATCTCAAAAATTCTCAGAAATCCGCAAGAAGTGTACGGTCAAGAGATTTCCATACGTTAAATAAAAGTCTCGAACGTATCAATGAAAATGTTAAACATTTGACGAAGTGCCGCAGCAAAGGAAAACCTTTAACAAATATTGTCGAATCTATTGATAATTTAACCAAACAATTTGGTAAATGTGCTGAGAGTTTTGGCCAGGTCACACGGGAATTGGCTAAAAAGGAAACACAGAACATTAATATCAAGACTGACACTTGTGTGCAGAGAAATTCTATAGAAAAGCAAACGGAAACTGAAGTCCAGGAAAAATCATATTCGGAATGGATTAATGAAATGCGTACCACCGAAAATGGAAGGAAATTTTTGGAGAGGGTAAGAATAAAGAAGTGAAAGTATTAAAAAATCTTAATGACTGTTGAAAATAGTTAGAATGTATCTGTCAATCTTTGTGAAATGCATTAATTCTGATACAAGGCTTGCAGAATCGGAATCTCTTAACTTTATTTAAGTTTGATGGACATAGCGTTTAAATGAAATTAGGAACCCATTACACATTTTATTTGTGGAAGAGAACCCAGAATGTTTTTAACACAACTACATCCATGTTCAATTTAAATATTAAGGTGTGAGGATATAAAAAAGGCGATGTGAGATTTTGTTTATTTTTACCATACATATTTCATTTAAAAAAAAAGATTTGGTCTGTCGGCCAACCTGACGGTGACCGATCCGGTCACCTACTTTTTATTCTACTTACATTTTACTATATACAATATAATACAATTTAATATTGGTAAGAGCAGCCCAGGTGCCTCTGCCTGAGTCTTCAGATTTCCAAGACCTTTAATTCTCCGTCGTAAGGTAATTGTGTGATCTGGCAGATTTCAATATCTTTTATCACATATCGGTCGTTCGAAAGCACTTTACTCACTACATAAGGACCTCTATATTTCGGCACAAAACTTTTTATTTGTCCCTATCGTTGTATCCACATCCGTATCACTACAAAATCGCCTGCCCCTTTTGTATTAGACCTTTGCTCGCTATATGCCTGCGACCTCGCAATTGCAGCCTCTGCCATTCACTAGAATGACGTCTTATTTTTACTTCATCATCATTCTTTCTTCGTTACATATGAATCTTATGATCTAATTAACAGTCGGTAATCTATTACAAGGTTGTATTTTGACAATGATGCCAATCTAAACAAATCTACTACATTATAAAAAAGCATAAATATGGGTCCACTTTGTAAACATGCCCTCATATAACAGTACCTCCCAATGTTCGGTATTTTTTATTTCCGATTTCATCTAAACTTTGGATATCTTTATGGATCATTCAAAATTTCCCAAAAATGTAAGAATTTTGTTAAATAGTTAAAATTCTTTATGGGCGATTGAATTTGGACCCTTGTCATGCTGTCATTTCGATTCTGATGATAGCCTTCTGTCTTGTCAAAACGTGGATGTTAGATGTTGAAGTGAAGGTTCGGCAGCTGTGTTTCTAATAATTTTGAATGAGGGTATTTAAATCGGTCTTCGAGCCACAAAACATGTATCTACATTAAGCTAGGACGTTTTTTTTTCATCAATGTAGTAATCGAAATATTAATTACAGAAATTTAGGTTGAAAAATGCGACTACGACCTTGAACATGTCAAAAAAGTTTCGGGTCCTCTTATAAAAGGGGTCTTGTCAATTTCAATAACCCGGAATATTAAATTACTGGCACTAATTTTGCGGATAAAAATTCCCTATTTTGTCCATTTCTATAGTGAAAATTGTTATTCGATTTTACAGGTAGAACATTCACTGTCTAAAGCCGTGGCTAAACAAAAAGAACAGTGGCAAAACGAACAGGACAACAAAATGAAACAAATGAAAAGTTTAATAAAACTGCATTACAAACAGAAAATGTTAACGGTAAGAATGAAAATAACATTTAATTAAATAAATTATTTTAACACTAGAACGCCGAAGGCGGTCATTTTGACCGCTTTCCAATTTCAAGTACAAAAGCAACTGTGCATTTATGACACATTTTTTTAAAATTTGGTGAATTTTTTATAATAAACGTAATTCTATGAGGTACAAAAAGTCACCATATTTTAAAAAAAAGTGTCATTAAATGCACAGTTGATTTTGTACTTGAAATTGGAAAGCGATCAAAATGACCGCCTTCGGCGTTCTAGTGTTAAACAAAAAAATTAATTAATTTGAAATTTAGCTCTTATCCCGGCAAAGTTCCGAGGAACAGCAAACAAATGAGGCCAAGAAACTAAATGAAACCATTGAAATTAAATTGCGTAATTTCGAAACAAAACAAATGGAACTGCTGGAGAAACTGCAAGAGTCCTCATTTGAATTGCAGGAGGCTCAAAGGGCGCTGCAAGAGCAGGCGCAGAAAAAGAAAGAGGTAGGATTTATAATTAATGTTTTTAATAATAATTATTAATCGTTTTAATTTCTTCTTCATAAATAGGGGATCGAAACGAGAGGAAAAGCTGTTGAAGATCTTGATAATGGTAACTCTTTGAAAAACAATGAACCAAAATATGTGAATCAAGTCTCACAGTGCCTCAACAATATTAATAATTTAAAGGAAGTTAATATTACAAGACCGCAAGAAATTCAGGACGATGGTTTAGTAACTCCCAGGGATCAAAATGTGGAACGTATCATCAATGAAGCCAAGTGAGTATTTTTGTATACCCTTCACCGCAATATGGTGCAGGACTGACATACATATATGCAGGACAGGCAAGTATACATGATTTCAATTCGAGGGGGCTGCCGGTTAAATATGAAAATGTTATTTCTAAAATGTTTTCTATATACTGGTTCAAAGCCTCCATACAAATTTCCCGGTTGCGTCGAAATTTTACACAGCATAACTAAGTGAGCCTAGAATGAGGTGTATTATATTTTATTCAAATCGGTTCAGATTTAGACATAGCTTCCATATACCAAAATATTCAAAGTTTGCCCGATTGAGACACAGCGTTTTACAGCGTTCCAAATTGAGCCTAGAATTAAGTGTATCAAATTTCGTTGAAATCCATTTGGATGTGGGTATAGTTTCTATATATAGGTTGGAGAAAAAGAAATCCATTAGGCCGGTCGCTGTTGACCGGCATGTTAGCAGTCGTAATATCGCCCAGGAGCTAAAAACCGATCATAAAACTGTTTTAAAACATTTACACAAAGCAGGATTCAAAAAGAAGCTCGATGTTTGGGTGCCACACCAATTGATATAAGAAACAGGATGGATCGAATTTCCATCTGCGAAGCCTTGTGTAAACGGAATGAGATAGAACCATTTCTTAAACGGATTGTTACTGGAGATGAGAAATTGATCACATACGATAAACCTGTGTGAAAACGATCGTGGTCAAAGAGCGGTGAAACACCTCAAACGATGGCCAAACCAGGACTAACAGCCTGAAAGGTTCTGCTATGCATTTGGTGGGACTGGAAGCACACTATTTATTATTAGTTGCTTCCATATGGCCAAACGCTAAATTATAATCTCTTTCAACAACTGGACCATTTGAAGATAGAAATTGACCAGAAACGGCCAGAATTGGACAACAGGAGAGGTGCCGTGTTTCACAAGGACAACGCTAGGTCACACACATCTACAGTGACTTCCCAGAAACTTCGGAAGCTTGGTTGGGAAGTTTAAATGCATCCACCATACAGTCCGGACTTGGCAAATAAATAGCAGGACTTCTATAAGAGAGGCATTATGAAGTTACCTTTAAAATGGCAACAAATCACACAACAAAACGGTGCAAATTCACGTGCACATGCACGTTAAATAAAGTCCTATAGTTCATATAAACATAATGGATTTCTTTTTCCCCAACCTAATATATTTTCGTCCGATTGTTGTCCAATGTTAATTTTGCGTCTCCTACCTCTCTGGAGACGTTTTAAAGGCTCTCCCTCTAGCCGGCTTACTTTCCTTCACAATGCTATATGTTACTATTAAGAGACGCCCTCATAGCTTCATAAGGACTTGACAACTAAAACTAATTAGCTTGTTGAGGGAAATACAGGCAGTACCCTGACTTAACCCGTGAAACACTGATGGGCATGAAGTGGAGTCTATATTAAGAAAAAGGTGACTTAAGACATAGGGCATTCGCTATTTTTTTCAGAGACTCTCCCAAAACCAGTTGTACAGCCTGTCTGTTAATTAAATTCGTACGTACCCAATACATGTTAGAGGACTTTCCTCTATCCGCAAACTGTGAACGCTTCAATCGATTGTTTTTTCAGAGACTCTCCAGCTAACCGGCTGACTATCTGCAACTTTTTATTCAATTCACAGCTACCGAATGATATTATTGGACTTTCAACTATTCGCAAACTATGGACAGTTCCGATAGTATTCATCTATGATCCCAGTAAGATAGTTTTGTTCACTTTTACACGGAAAAAATAATTCGTACATTATATGAATAGTGTTCAAAAAATTTCGTCTATGTCAGGATTTCTGCATTTTATGAATGCGATTCATAAAACATTAAATACTGACTTCTTATTAGAGAGAGTGAAAAAAACAACTGTATTTGGTGCGAATTTTGTAACATCAAAAGAGAGAGAAAGAAAGAGAGGGAGAGAAAACGAGCGCAAATAGCAGTAAATTAAATCGAATAAGTGGTTGTAATATAAATGAAATGTTGAAATTTTTTGGAAAAAAATAGTGGTTTTCTCATGATTATAAAACTTGTTACTTGTGTTCAAAGCGAGGTACATGTACAATATGGAAAAACATAACTACGAAATTATTAAAATATTCATTAAATGTTTTTCTGTGTATACCCATATTGGTATAGGTTATCATATTGTCGGCCACTCCGTCTTTGGAAAAACTTGTAAAAATACATTTTTGTTTCTCCTTTCAGGTTGCGCCTAAAACAATTGGAAACTGAAAGCAACTGCTTGGAGCAGCATTTTCAAAATTACCTGGAACGTCGTCGCAAGGAACAGCAATGTCGCTTGGAGGTCACAAATCAACTAATACAACAAAGTCAAAGTAAAACCTCTGAAATATTGGGCAAATTGCAAATAAATCCAACATCAAGTGCGGTAGACAAACGTAATTTATTTGGTTCGCAATCGAAATCTCTGGCTATTCAAGAAGAAGATTTAGATTTGGATGAAGAATTTCTAAAGCTGAAAGAAAAACTAGCAACTACCCAGGTGATTGTTGAAATGTCGCCGCAGGAAACTTCTCCATCGATTGAATTGAAAAATGCCATTTTGGATGCGAAGAATAAATTCTTTGAAAATGAGCAGCTATTTAGGGAACGTAAGGAAAGGGAGTTCATGAAGGAAAGCATCGCTGTCTTTGGTTTGCAAGATGAAGAAGTTGTCAAGACTTCGAATGTATGGGATTCTAGTGTGGATTTGAAATCTCATTTAGATGTGGGCAAAGGGGTAGAAAGGGAGCAAATTATTGTCTTCAATATTAATACAAATCCGGAAACAAACGAGGAAAGGATTATGGGTAATAATCAAAATCCCACGAGGTATGGTGTAAATTGTGAAGAAGAGTCCTTGAAAAAGAAAATAAATTGTCCACCGAAAAATTCCCCAAGAAGGGAGTTGTTCCCCCACACCGAAACCGTAGAGGAGTGCGGGGAATCTAAACCCAGAAGCAACTCCTTGCCATCGGTAAATACAAATTTACGGAAAACCCTAAAAGATCTGAAAACCTTTACCCAAAGTTTAGAAAAGAATAAAGATAAATCGGAAGGAAGCAGCGAAGATTTACTGAAACAATCAATGGCCAAAATGAAACAACTTTTTGAGGAAAATTCCAAATCGAAGACAGAACTGAAAAATATTTTGGAAACTTCTAAAAATGATAACTTAGGGCAAACAACATACGGAAGTGGACGCCATAATAAAACCAACACAGAGGATATGCCAAAGGATGTAAATAAAATAACTGCTACAGAAAATTATGACATAGGCGATTACTTTGATATTGCTCCTCAGAGGACTGGAATTCAAAATACCTTAGATTTAAATTTGACCACTACCACCAATACCACAACAAATATAACCTCCATGGTAACTACTTCAGCTGTATCTCTGGATTCGGTTGATACAAATCAAAATGAGAATTTAAATACCAACACCACAACTCCGCAGGACACACTCAATACCCAACTACTACAAATGAAAACATCAGGAAATAATTTCGTTATACCCTCACCTCTACACCTCAGCAGTGACAGCGACGACGATGAGAGTTTAAAAACGCACAGCAAAGGAAATCAAGATTCCGCTGCCGGGATTAGTGAAATATCAAGTGATGAAGAAATTATAATGCCTAATGGCAGTACAATACCTAAGCTAGTATTATCGCCCAAGCTGCCGGAAAATAGTTTAGAAATTGGTGAAGTGGTTAGTGATAGTCAACCAGTTTTTATACCTTTGGCCCAAGTCAGCAGCAGTGAAAGTTCGGAAAGTAGTGATCCAGCTTTTGATATGGCGGTGGAAAGAAAGGAAGCAAAGACAAATTTGCAAGTAAAATCTAGTGATAATAGTGAGGCGGATGATTTTTGGGCCTAAAAGACAGGTGAAAACAAAATCCAATAAGTACTACTTGAGGAAAATTTTCGATGGACATCTACTATGAAGCACCTTATGAAGGAAAAATACATATCTTACGACCGTATTGCGGATTTTAGATACATTTCCTCATAGAAAATTTTTCCAAGAAAAAAATTCCCCTTGTATTAAAATATCGGTACTCTTAATCGGAGAAAAATTTTACTATTGGAAAAATCACGGGAAAATAATATAAGCGCCTTATTACGATATGTTCCTATAGAAAAAAGGGTATCAGGACCTGTGGATGTTTCGTCCAACGGAAATATATTTTTAGAAAATTAGAGATGGTAACTTTTTGAAGCTAGAAATGGAGGTTTATCAATTTTTGCAGACTAAAATATTTTGTATAATATAAATACAACAATTTTGTAAACTATTTATATATTTTTTGCATTTCCTTTATATATAAAGTTATCTATTGTAGAATCAATAATAACTCTTTAAATCTTCCACAATTCTCTTCTTCTTTTGTAATACTATGATAACAAACATAAAATTCTTTAATCTAATCAATCTTTATTAACCAAACACTTTATGGTTTTTAACACCAACATTATTATTAAATTAAGTTTTGTAATAAATTTTATGGTTATTATATTTGAATAAAAATCGAAAATAACAACAACAATAAATAACATCATCATCTTATATTGTTGAATATCTTTTAACATATTTTCAATGGCTCAGATCAGCTCAGCCTCTTTATCATATAATTCCCATTAACAATGACTATGTCTTGTGTGTACGGCATTAAATTTAATTTTCCTTTTCACCGGAAATAACCACAAAACGACTGACTTTGCAACAATTATATCAATTCAATTATATGGATGTGTGCGTGTTTGTATATCTGTATGTTTGTCTTGAATAGAATTGTTTACCCACTTACCGTTAAAATAATAATAACAATAATAATAATTGGTGCTGAATATTAGATTGGCAACTTGGAAATCTTAAATGGAAAATAAAATAGAAGATGCGCTTTATTAACATCCATGAAAATGAGGTATATTTTTCAATTTATTCGTCGGGCCATTTTTCTCGGAATTTTATAGACGATGTGAGATTTTTCCTCATCCCCTTTCTTATCAAAATATTAAATCAGTAGAACTGATTAACAAGGAATAAATTCGTTAAGTTCGACCTGGCGGAGTTCTGAGTAATTTTCTTTTGTCATAACAAAAATAATACAAAATATATAATATAATGTATAATGTAATATAATATAATGTAATCCAAAGGTGCCTAAAAAAATATTCTTTTAAAAATTCACTCCTAGAGGTTCCTGTGATTTTTAATCTGCACCTAGGGGAGCCAATGAAAAAAGAAAAATATTTTTAAAATCGACGTCTAAGGGAGCCTCTGAAAAATATTTGTTTAAAACCTAGAGCTGTCCCTGAAAAGCTATTCTCTTAAAAATCCACTACCAGTGATATCTTTCAAAAAAAAAAAAATAAATAAATAAATAAATAAAAATAAAATAAATAAATAAAATTTACAAGTTTACGCCTCTGAAAAAAATATTTTAAAAATCTAACCCGAGGACTGACTCTAAAAAATATTCTAAAATCCATGTCTAGAGCTGACTCTGAATATCTACGCCAGGAGCCGTCTGTAAAAAAATATTATTTTAAACATCTACGTTAGAGATGTGTCTGAAAAAAGATTCTTTTAGAAATCTACTCTTAGAGCTGCCTCCGAAAACATATTAATTTTAAAAATCTACACCTAGAGCTGCTCTGAAATAATATTCTTTAAAAATTCCACGCCTAGAGTTACCTCTGAAAATCGAAGCCATGTGCATGAGATGCATCTCAAAAATATGCATTTAAAGATCCACTCCTAGAAAACTGTAGATATAGAAATTTCGCATACATCAGTCGGGACCTCTGTGCAAATTTTGCTTCAATCGGAACAATATTGGGAGTTTGGTGCACAATTTACTTTAAATCGGACGAAACTATATATGGGAGCTATATCTAAATCTGAACCTATTTCAATGACCTAATTTAGTACGCTGTGCAAAATTTTGTCACAATCGGGTAAATATTGGCAGTTGGAGCTTCATTTACATAAAATGGGACGAAACTATATATAGCAACTATATCTAAATCTGTACCGATAACAAAAGAATTTTACATACATTCAGTACTCTGTGCAAAATTTTGCTTTAGTCGTCCACTATTGGGAGTTTGGTGCACTATTTACATTAAATCGGACGAAACTATAAATCGGAGCTATATCTAAAACTTAACCGATTTCAACAAAACTTGGCATATAACTATCTAGACCTAATTCAATACTCTGTGCAAGATTTTGTCTCAATCGGATCACTATTGGGAGTTTGGTGCATCAATCAGTTAAAATCGGACGAAAATATATATGGGAGCTATATCTAAATCTGAACCGATTTTCTCCAATTTCAATAGGGTTCGTCCTTGGGCCTATTAAGTGACCTATGCCAAATTTCATTCAAATCGGATCATAAATGGGACCTGTACTTTGTTAACAAAAATACATGCACGGACGGACGGACATTCATAAATCGACTCAGAAAATGATTCTATGTATATTCTCAAAAGGAACCATGGGTATATTTCAATTTTTTCTGGTACAAACATATGCACAAATAAACAATACCCTGTACCACAGTGTGGTGAAGGATATAAAAAGGGGTTTATATGTGGACTACCCCTAAAAGGGGCGAATATTAATATTTTTTGGGAGAGAGGTTTGTTACCATATAAGACTACAAAAAACCAAATTACAAAGAATTTGGTTGAAAAACGCGCTCAAGAACCCCAAAATATAGAAAATTGGGGGTACCCTTATATGGGGGCTACCCGAAAAAATTGACCTATATTTATAACTTTTAGTGGAGTAATTTGGTACCCAATAAGAACCCAATGTACAAAATTTTATAGAATTCAGTTATAAAACGATCTCAAGAACCCCAAAATATCGAAAATTGGGGGTACCCTTATATGGGGACTATCCGAAAAAATGGAACTATATTTATAATTTTAGTATGGAAAGTTCCTACCCAATAAGAACTCAAAGTACCAAATTTCAGCGAATTCGCTAGAAAAATGCGATCAAAACCCCCAAAATACCGAAAATTGGGGGTACCCTTATATGGGGACTATCCGAAAAAATTGACCTATATTTATATTTTTAGTAGGGAGATTTGCTACCCAATAAGAACTCAAAGTACCAAATTTCAGCGAATTCAGTTATAAAACGCGCTAAATAACCTCAAAATAGCGGAAAATGGGAGGGGGGGGGGGGTACCCTTATATGGGAGCTATGCCTAAATGTGGACCGCTTTTCTCCAATTTCAATAGGGTTCGTCCTTGGGCCAATTAAGTGACCTGTGCCAAATTTCATCCAAATAGGATCATAAATGCGACCTGTACTTTGTTAACAAAAATACATGGACGGACAGACGGACGAACAGACGGACATGCATAAATCGACTCAGAAAGTGATTCTATGCATATTCTCAAAAGGAACCATGGGTCTATCTCGATTCTTTTTGCCTGTTACAAACATATGCACAAAGATATAATACCCTGTACCACAGTGTGGTGAAGGGTATACAAGTTTTGGTCTAGATATGGCTATGAAAAAATATTCTTTTAAAAATATATAAACACATTTCCTCTTATAGCGAACTACAGATATAACGAACTATTATTAATATTTATTCGGTCCCAACATTCGGTTTTCATTTATTTTAATTTGGTTATAACGAACTTGTTAAAAATAAACGTACTACTGACGATGACAATCGTCACAAAAGTTAAACTGTAATACCAGTTTCATTAAAGAAAAAGAGAAGCAGCTTAAGAATTGTCATAAAGGACACAAAACCTTCCAGTTTCTAAATGAATATAATTTTTATCTGTTACGCCTATGCCTTGCCTTGGATATAACGAACTAATTTACTTGGTCCCTACTTGTTCGCTATAACCGTACTCGACTGTAAAATATTTCTTGTATTAGTACCTCTGGCATATATCGAGATTTAATATAATTACTATTACAACAAATTATTTGATCTGCGTGAATTAATTCACCTCTGTACATGGAAATAAGTCACGAAACCTATATACTATTTTTGATATGTGATAACAAACAATAGAAGGCGGTAAGAGAAACGTAGTTAGTAAAGTCGTAAACACACCTACCTTTTAAATTTCCATTGCCCTGCTATAAGTACATTTATTGGGTTAACACTTGCCATATATTCGAAGTTATTTTTTATTTAAATTTTTACACTTTTCGTATTTATTTTTTAAATCTCCCGAATGAAACACAAATTTAAGACATTGAATTTCGAATTGTTTTTCTGACAAAATTATTCGTGCTTTATCTACAACTACGAAAATTAAAGCACTTTTTATGGTTGAAACCCGCACTAAAGAACTGATGAACACTTTTAATAAGAAACTACAAAATTATCTGTAGAAGCTTTTGTAGTAATCAAACTGAAATGCGCACAAAAACATATACCGAAACAACTACCCCGGGAAACGGAAAATAAACGAAGAGGACACCGACACGGAAGCGTTGTTGCAATGGTAACATATTGTTTTATTTTAAAAAGCTTTTTGTAGCCAAACGCGCACAGATCGAATATCGAACAAACAGAACAATGAATTGCAGATACATACACACACGAACAACAATAAGCAAACATTTTTGCAACTTGGAATAGATAACGTAATGCATTTCAGAATATTTACTAACACGATATGAACGGATTTTGCACTATTTTGTGTGGTATATACAATTTTTCAATTATTACAACAACATATTATTATTATTTTCCCAATTTGATTTCAATAATTTGGCAACACATTTACCCGATCACGACAAGCGACGGACGTCTTAACTCTATGAACGCGACGAAAGAACTAAATGAGTGGCCAGTTCTAAAATTCTTTCTTACTGGA